GACTGGGGCGTCAACATCCAGTCCCTCAGCGGATCTCCGGCAAATTTCCAGGTCTTCACCGCCCTCTGCGACGTCCATGACCGAATCATGGGCTTGGACCTTCCCCATGGAGGTCAGCGAAACCGAAACCAACGCATACGGCGAAAGCAAGGGGTCAAACATGGTAAAAAAAAAGGGAAATCCCCTAGAAATGTCATGTATATGTCATGTATATGAGAAAATCATGTGATGGATTTTCCATTGCCATGGTTGAGTACTACAGTGTAAAGGTTTTGGAAGTGGAAACATGGGATTGTGAAACTCAAAAATTGATGGGCAAAAAGTGACAAAATGAATGCAGGTGATATATTGATATTGTACTGAAATCGTGGAAACTAGCAATTATATACCTGATTCTCTAAATTTCTATATGCATGTGAGGTATGTGATTGTGCCTTTGCACTTCTTCCAGGTCCTCTGGACATTCCGGCCTCATCCAGCCTAGGTAAATGCCCCACGATGCCCGGGATATTTCCTTGTTTTTATCCTCGATATCCTTGTTTATTTATCTTGATCATGTTCAAACATCTCATTCTTGTCGCAGAAACCTAAAGTCTATTTCAAGCTTAGATCAGCTTATAACACATCAACTTGAGCCTGTTGCCTCATGTCACCTGATTGGTGCGTAATCGTTGACTTTCTTTGCGCATCTGCACAATGTTACCTTCAAAATTTGGGGCAGAATCCAAGGTCACTTGTCCCACGGCTACCAGACAGACACCAAGAAGATTTCCATGGTGTCCAAGTACTTTGAGTCCATTCCCTATCGCCTCAATGAAGACACGGGTCTGATCGACTACGACGAGTGCGAAAAGTTTGCTTTGCGGATCCGCCCAAAGATTTTGATCGCAGGAACCAGCGCTTACTCCAGGCTGATTGACTACAGTCGAATGCGTGACTGGTTGGTGGTTTCAACATGTTAATGTTTCAAGTAGAAATTCGATTATGATAAATGATGATCCCCAATGAAATTTGGAATTTGGATGATTTGGTTGGGGATCATAATCCCATACAATTCCATAGAATCCCATTTCTATTTGTTTCCTTTTCCGAAATGGGATGATGGGATGATGGGATGATGATGGGATGATGATCCCCGATGACGAGTCGCTGAGTCGCTGAGTCTCTGAGTCGCTGAGGTGAGATTGCTGACAAATGTGGGGCCTATCTCTTGGCGGATATGGCGCACATTTCTGGCCTCGTGGTTGCTGGAGCCATCCCTTCTCCTTTTGAGCACCGTCATTTGCAAGGGCGACACACATGCTGTCAAAAGACCTGCTGCAAAATTTAAGATATATGTCATGCTCTAGTTCTTCCTACGTCCTACTTGTTTGTTTTGTCAATGATGTCAATGCTGTGTTCCATGTGCACGTTGATCACCGGCAATGAACAATTCACAAATCGATGGCTCAGCCTTGTAGAACAGTTACTACTAATGGTGATATTCCACAGCTATGATAGCTCTATAAGAGTCTACTGAAGTGTACCACAGATATACCCAGATGCCTGAGGTATGCAGATGTCGTCACGACCACAACGCACAAGTCCCTGCGTGGTCCTCGTGGCGCCATGATTTTCTTCAGGAAGGGACAGCGAGGTGTGGATAAGAAACTTGGCGACCAGGTGACCAATTGATCGGTAGACTGGTTACTGGTTATATATCTGGTTATGGGATATGAATGGTGAATGGATATTATAGGGGCTTCTGTTCCAAATATATTGGGGATATGGGATGTATATGAATTTATCATAATTTATCCTGACCCATGAGGGGAATTCCTATCAACTAACCGGTATACCGGGCAGTTCATGCTTGGTTTCGATTTTGTTGCGGGAAAAAACGCATTGAATTCCGAAGATTCAGATAGATTCAGGAGATAATGGATTTCCTTTGCCCAACCTCCGCCACATTGTTTTCAAGCGGAAGGAAAGGCAATGCCATCATGTACGACTTAGAGGACCGCATCAACGCCAGCGTCTTCCCGGGGCTTCAAGGTGGTCCTCACAATCAGAGCATCACTGCATTGGCGGTGGCCTTGAGACAAGCAAACTCACCTGAATTCAAGACCTATATTGAGCAGGTGATCAAGATCCTGGTCTCAATTGTCTCAATTTGCTTATGTCAATTGATCTCAATGTACATTCAAATGTATGATTATGTATATATATATATATGTGGTTGTGTGTGTGATGACATTTGATGATATTTGCGCGTATGTGTATATATATATATGGATTTAAGTATGTATATGTATCTATGTGTGCGTGATGATATTTCATGATATTTGTACTTACTGTATATACATACATATACACGTGGTGGTGTGGTGGATGTCTCGACTTGATCAAGATTTGAAGTCTCCAATCCATGCATGCTGTGTCAAAGCAATGTTGTTGTTTCTATACAGATACTGCGGCTTTCACATTCCCATCCTTGGTTCGGTGTGATGTTCAATGTATATATGGAGTACAGTTGATCTGAAACCTTTGGAGCTTGGCCCAAGGAACTCCAAAGCCTTTGGCGAATCCTTGCAGAAATGCAACTTCAATTTGGTATCTGGAGGCACCGACGCTTGTCTTCCAACTGTTGGAGGCCCTTCAAAAGCGATTAATCATTCTGTCATGGCCTGTCTGCTGTTGTTTCAAATTTGTCATTTCTTGCGGCCTTTGCGATGCCTTTTCTACCCTCTGGTCAACTAACATAGCGATGGATAGTGGCCCAGTATGTAGATAATTTGCCCATTTAAACATGGATTGTCCTTTTTCGGTTATTGTTTTTGCTGATGTTTCTTTCAAGCCCGGTTTGGGACAAGGACAACCATCTGCTGTTGATCGACTTGCGCTCCAAGGGCATCAATGGCTCCAAAGCCGAAGCCGTTTGTGAGCAGGCTTCCATCGTGTTGAATAAGCGCCTGGACATTTTTTGGGAGGAACCAAAGCATGGTAATTAGTAATTACAGTGGTAGACATGTGTACCCGGAAATGACACGAAGGCCTTGTTTTCCAATCTCCAATCTCTGAAATTTCTGAATGCAATGGGGCTGAGAAGATCTGAGAAGATGAGAAATTCGTGCACTGTGTTTGTCGTTTGCACCGTGCTGAATGATGTTTGTTTCTCGACCATCCCATCCATCACAATTCGCTGGGAATGCCTCTACAATGGAATGACAGGTTGGGTGAGCCCACAGATATCCCCATATATGAGTATAGTGTAAATATAAATATTCCCCAGTAGACATATGACATATAATCATTCTCCCCCCATCACACGGCTGCTGAACAGCTAAGGAACACGATCCCGGGAGATAAGAGCGCGATGAACCCCAACGGCCTGCGAGTGGGTACTCCTGCGATGACCTCCAGGGGATTGATGGAGGCGTGGAAGTTGCCGCCCGGGAAAGGGGGAACAAAAACTGCTGGACTGGGATCTGGCAGGAAAATATATCAACATCAATCAACATCGATCAAAGTCAATCAACATCAATCAAAATCAATCAACATCAATCAACATCGATCAAAATCAATCAACATCAATCAAAATCAATCAACATCAATCAACATCGATCAACATCGATCAAAGTCAATCAACAACAATCAACATCATTCAGCATCAATGAACATCGATCAACATCGATCAAAGTCAATCAACAACAATCAACATCAATCAACAGCAATGAACATCGATCAACATCGATCAAAGTCAATCAACAACAATCAACCTCAATCAACATCGATCAACATCGATCAACATCAATCAGCAACAATCAACATCATTCAGCATCAATCAACATCGATCAACATCGATCAAAGTCAATCAACAACAATCAACATCATTCAGCATCAATCAACATCGATCAACATCGATCAAAGTCAATCAACATCAATCAACATCAATCAACATCAATCAACATCGATCAACATCGATCAACATCGATCAAAGTCAATCAACATCAAACAACATCAATCAACCTCAATCAACATCAATCAACATCAATCAACCTCAATCAACATCAACCAACATCAGCCAGCATCAATCAACACCGATCATCATCCACCAACATCAATCATCATCAATAAACATCAATGAACATCAATCAACATCAACCAACATTAGCAACAATCAACACCAATCATCATCCACCAACATCAATCATCATCAATAAACATCAGTCAACATCACTCAACATCAATCAACATCAATCAACATCGATCAACATCGATCAACATCGATCAACATCAATCAACGTCAATCAACATCTATCAACATCGATCAACATCGATCAACATCAAACAACACCAACCAGCATCAACCAACATCAAACAACATCAATCAACATCAATCAACATCAATCAACATCAATCAACATCAATCAACATCAATCAACATCAACCAACATCAATCAACATCAACCAACATCAATCAACATCAATCACCATCAATCAACATCAATCAACATCAATCAACATCATTGAACATCAACCAACATCATTGAACATCGATCAACATCAATCAACATCAAACATCATCAATCAACATCAGTCATCAATCCTGCAAAGTGTTGCTGAAAGATTGAGAGAATGCGATTCCATCCTCTCCATTTGAGCAACGTGAATAGGCGGAAACATGCCTGAGAACAACTCTCAACACGTTTGTGTCAAGGACGACTTTGTGCGGATTGGAGAGTTCATTGGCAGCGCCGTGGACATTGCAGCTGAGGTGCAGAAGGAGCAGCACCTGATAGCATGTGGCATTTGGGAGTACCAATGCCATTAGCCTAACAATTTTAGCCCTAGAGTTCGATGGTAAGAACCAGTCTTCCAGACCAATCGTTCTCCCTCAACCTGCTACAGACATCTACAGACTGTATTGCGTACAGCCCAGGAGAGTGGCCCCAAGCTGGTGGATTTCAAGCGAGTACTTGCAGAGAGCCCCCCAGGCAGCATGCCACGGGATTGGACACCCATCTGACTTGCAGCATTTGAAGCACTGACATTTCCCTCATGTTTCAGGCAAAAAAAAAACAACACAACTGGTGGGATGATGTGCTGCCAGGAAAACTCTTGGAGCTCAAGAGCCAGGTGGAAGACTTTGCCAGTGCCTTCCCCACTGTGGGGGCTTAAGGGCGGGCGCTTCAGATCATGTCAGATCCTTCAAAGAAGGATGGGTTCAGATGCTACAAGGCCTCTGGGGCAATTGTTGCCACTTCATCCGTTTTGATCCATTCTGATCCATGGGCAGATCTTTTGTTTTTTGTGGCCCGGGGCTCGCGTTGCGCCATTTTCCTAGATCCCTTGAGTTTCAGCAAGTGGCTGGAGCACAGGGAAACCCTGGGAGAGTTCCCACAGACGTCGGATGATGGCCGGCAACCGCAGAAGTCTGGGACTTGTTGCCAAAAATACATAAACATACTGTATCCAAAAATGGCGGCCGTCCCGCGCTGCCACAAGGGTGAATCCATGATCAAAGCAGGACATATTTGTGATTATATACATGTATCATGTGTATGTATATATATATATACACATATTGCCATATGCATCCATATGCATAATCTTGGCATAGTCATCAAAACAACTCAACGTTGTATGTGAATATGACATAATATGACACAGGAAGATTTGGACAATTTTGGACATGTTTGTTGAAAGAACGTGGACATCTTCCAGGCTGCGCTTCTGTCATCGGCAACAAAGGTCAGCAAGGAGCTCCAGGAGAAAATTCAGGCATCATCCCTGCCATATTTGGGGATGGTCAATCCAGAAATAGTGATGATTTATATACATTATACAAGCATTGTAAGGATTTCCGTTGTGGAATGACTTGGAATGGATGACCATAGAACATATACCATGTTTTACCCCAGCACATATGGGTTCTGCTCAGGCAAATCGTGAGCGCGCCCTTGACACTTGCCAGCATTGTATCAATGTAGTATCCCGTAGTATCTGTTGATATCAATTGTTGTCATATCGTTATATTTCGCTCACCTCAGCACAGTAAATCACATTAAACGACCGGATCCGTCCCGAACCCAAGCGGCTCAACAAACGGCCAAGCAACCAATGACCCACGAAGTTGCCTCGTAAATACATGACTCATCATGACACCCAAGAAGTATGCCTCGTTGTGGGTCTCCTGAACCCTTCATTTTATAAGTTATGTAGTGTAGTCATTATAGCAGTAGCAATTCATATCATTTATTGTAATGTTGGTTCCTGATTAGTGTGAGGCCCCCCCTAAACAATCACTGTACTCTCTTTAAAGTGGAAAGTCAAATATTTTCTTCCCAGGAAAAAAATCCTCACTTAAGTAAGGATTTCAATTGGCTAATTACAATTGAAATCTAATTAAAACTGTTTTTTTGCCGATGAAGTTGTGGTATTTGTAGTAGTACTTGTAGTACTTGTAGTGCTTGTAGTACTTGTAGTACTTGTTGTACCTTTAGTAGTTGTAGTATTTAAAGTAATTGTAGTAGTTCTGGTATGTGTAGTACTTGTAGCAGTTACAGGCTGTTTTTTTTTTTAAGTCTCCCAAACTTTCTTGCCACAATAGTGAAACCCTAAAAACAATACATGGGTTCAGAATAATATGGGAAAAGTTTGCCACAATACCGAACCTAGCCACTAATCAGCATCCAACATTACTGTGGGATGTTCAGGCCTTCCAATTCCCCCAACCGTTAACTTATGACTTATGACTTATGACTGTCCCAAAAGTCGAAAAATGGCGAGGCCCGCAAAAGGCAGGCAATGACTGCTGGAGCTGGTGCGTGATGTGGGGACCCAAGAGGATCTGACAATACAGTAAGTTGACAAGAAATTAAACCCATCATCATCATCATCATCATCACCACCACCCTACAACTCCTACTAGAAAGGCAAACACACACACATTTATTATCTATATCAATGTTGTCATTCTGTGCCAGATGAACTGCAGTTCCCATTGCCTGGTTACGAGCTGCTGGGGCCCACCTTTGATTTGCTGAGGTGTGCTGCTGCGACTCAGGGTGGATTTGAAGCTGAGTCTTTGAGCAGCAGTGCGTTAGACTGATCTCCTGGAAAATCGTGGGAAAAAATAAACACAAACTTGCAATAGTTTGGAGTCGTGATTAGCTTTGATGTCCAAGAATTCGATCCACACATAGTTAATGCATGTTAATGCTCACATCTAAATCTAGGCAAAAAACACAGGCCTTGGATGGTCCAGCCATGTGGTTTCTTTCAATGCCGCTGGGGATCAGTATCGTTCACTGCTTAGGGGATCCCTGCCGGGTTTCTGTAGCAGGGCATGAGTTGCTCCATCAACTGGACAATGCGTCAGCTCCGCGACAAAAAGCCGCAACCAGTTGTAGCCAGCTGCAGACCACTGCGAACAGGTAGAAAGATAAGTACCCTCTGGTAAACTAACATAGCTATGGAAAATCACCATTTTTAATGGGAAAATCCACTATTAATGGCCATTTTCAATAGCTATGTTAAATTACCAGAGGGTAAATCAAAAAGCAGGATTGAGCAGTTAAGTTCTAGTTGGTCATGCTTCACCTTCCTGAAATCCCATTTGCAGGTTGCTGGGCATTTTCCTGGACCAGTGACATAGCCGACATTGCCACTTTGTGGGAGTGGCTCATGGGCACAAGGGACATCCGTTCTGAGGATTTGATGACGTCAGTCTGTAGTCATTGCCGGTGTGTCTCACTTCTCCCAACGAAGAAATGGACACGAAGAAAGCTTAATGATTTTTATGTACGCAGGCAATTGTTTCAGTTGCTATTGAAGATCCCGTGAATGACGCTTGTGCCGAAGCCCCACCCTCTTTTTGCATCATTGTGCAGTAGTTGCCCAGCTCGATATGCTGGAGCAACCGCTGACTGACACACACACACAAACACACACACACAAACAAAAAATCGAGCTAACTTGATTTCCAGGTGGTTTCGCGCAGAATCAACAAGCTAGAGAGAAAAGATGAGAAAAGGGATTGAATTGAAGATGATTGAAGATTGCACAGCCCCCCTTGTGCAGCTGCCGGGATGCAATTTTTAGATGTCTGTGGTTTCAGGCCGACAGGCCACGGGTTTTCTGACCAACAATGCGTCACCCGAACTTTGCGCTTCGTTAAAAATGACTGCAACACTCTACTTGGAAGATTGATCAGATGCCAGGCAGCTGACATCCGGGAGAACCAACTCAAGAATGACAGCACGGACAAGATATTTAACTTTTAATTCAATATGTGACAATATTTGGACCATAGATTATATTGAACATGCGTCCTTTTCGTGTTTTCTTGGCGTTGCGTTGTTTGACTATGAACATGAACGCTTCGCAGGTGGCAGAAGTCCTTGGGCGCAACTATCCCGTGGCTTGTTTGTCCATGGGGTCCCCCAAATCACCTTGATATGGAACATGATGATATACCATGGGATTGCAAGGGTGCCATTTTTTCAAATCATATCACTGCTCAAGATTTCTTGTTTTGCTTAGCTCTTGGATTTTTGGAGGATTCCGTATCAACTGTGCTATAAAATCAGCGGTTTCGTAGCTGTTTTGAGGTGTGTCGGGATCCAGAGCATCAGTATGGCCTGGTTCATCGGTTGGATCGTTTCACTTCAGGACGCGTTGTTGCTTTGGCTTTTGGACTGCGATCCTTTAATCGGAAACAATGCGCTCTGCCGTTTTCAGAGGTTTGAAACTGGAACACCATTCATTTCCTAGTGGTCAGTTTTGGGACCACTTGATGCAGGAGCAGTTCTTTGTGCCACAAGCTATGCGGCCCTCTATTTGTCGCAGTCCCATGATGGCACTCATTTGCTGGCTGATGCTGGCTGCAAATCGAATTAACACGACCGCATACTGTAGTTTGTTTTGTAAGTTTGGCGCACCGAACAAATTCTGGAGACCTAAAGGTGCCTTGCAATTGCCGCAGAAATGCCATAGAAAGGGTTGTTGCAAACTAAGTTGCAATTGCCGCAGAAATGCCATAGAAAGGATTGTTGCAAACTAAATACCCACCAGTCAAGAGTGGTGCGTGACCATGAATCGTCGCCAATCAATATCGATGTTGTTACTGGAGGAGGGGAACAGGGAAACATGGAAACGACGTGTTTGCACATCTATTGCAGCACCGCATCATCATGTTTTGCCACCTGCTCACGTGCTCAAGTGATAATTTGAAGGAGATGGAGAATAGTTCAGACAGATGGATAGAGACGGGCAGTATTTGGCATTTAGATGGCATTTAGATGAATCATTTGAATTCATTTGATACCATATGTTTGTCCAGGCTTCAGTTTGCAGCACGGAGGGTCCTGAAGATCTACTTGGCGCTTTGTCACGGACACCTCCCACACAGCACAAAGATGATTGAGGCGAGCCTGTGTGGGTTGCCTGTGTGGGTTGCTTTACAGATCCAGTTCACAGTCGATAGGATGATAAATCCCAGGCTCCATTGTCGGGCTCTCGCCAAGTGGATGGCTCCTGGCGCAGTGTTGTGGACCCACATGGCAGGACCACCGACCACCGCAGCTTCTCCCTTGAAGCAGAACGATCACCGTTTCTAAACAAGGAAATCACCTACAAATGAGCCATTTTCCGTTAAATTACTTGAGGGCAAATGAATACTATATACATATTAGAATGAACAATTACTAATTACTAATGAATCCGAACAATACTACATCATAGCCAGATATAATTTCGAGGTTGGCACTTAGCTCTTGGCTCCAGACCAAGTTTTGCAGCGTAGGGAAGCCAATCCCTTATCTTGATTGGGGTGTCGTCGGGGGATTTGAGATTGTCAACTGTGACTTTGATCTCATCCATGCTGGGCCAGTCACTCCTGGGATTCTTGCTCCTGTCCAGCAATCCCACAGCATGACAAAGTCTCAAGATATATCAAATCTTTATATATATATATATTATACTGTATATTACTGTATAATTAAATATTATACAATTATATCATTATATATATAGTATATATATATATATATCTTAAGTATCGAGATATTTAAGTCCTACCGCCAGCTTCCCGTTTTGTTTCCCCAAAACCGGAAGTTTCACCCCAGAAGTTATCACCCCAGGAGAGCCAAAACGGAGATCCTTCAGGTGATCCATTTGCGCGGGCCTGGAGAGGCCAGCTTGGTGAAGGCTGGGATCTCAGCGGCGCGTTTTCAGATGGCCTGGGGCTGCAAATGGGGAAGTGCTTCTCAAGTGTTGTGACATTAACGTTTCATAACTATTCTATATCAGATATCATCAGATATCATGCATGTAATATATCATAAATTATTAATTATCATATAATCGGAATACATCGTAATTTTTGAGTTGTTTGACAGAGTGTAAAATCATGATGTCATACCTGTTGAGGCTGATTTTGTATCCATAAAAAACAGATGAAAAACGTGCTTGCCTTTGCAGTGGCTCAAAAGCTGGTCGGCTGAGCAGCTTGCGGCGCGGCCATGGCATCCTAGTTGCAATGATTGGTAGATGACGAAGTCATGTGATGTGAAATTCTGTGCACATTCTGAAGAACGGGCCTTCTCTGGCTGCGTTCGAATGGCTGAGCCAGCCTCAATGGATTGGTTCTTAAGGGAAAATGTACAGGAACCATTGGAACCATTGGAACCACCCAATTTCTTATGGCAAAATCGATGGAAAATCCATGGGAAAATCCATGGTTTCCTTGCCCTGAGGCATCGCCGGCGCGGACCCCGGACATCCGCTACTCGGATGTGGCACGCTATGTGGGCTTGTGCCTTGGTCGATGAGTATACCTGGAGTAGAATGTGTATTATGATGATATTAGATATTGTTGGGATATGTTGGGATTTATTATCGTTAATTATGGTATAATGTTATGACTATAGATTGTCTATATATAGGCTATAGTTGATTACTGTGATCATCCATGATATAGTTGGGGGAAAATCCCGCTAATGTTAGTAACGCAATAATTCAATAGGATCCACCATCCCTCATTTTACCACACATGGGTGCTCTAAAGACTCTAAAGCATCAACATATGGCTGGTTTATGCTGGTTTATTATTGCTTTAATTTACTATGCCTATGCTTTACTAACATTAATGTCGTAAACCCAATGCCATAAACTTACCATGTGGGAATGGTTGAAATCACCCCATGAAAACGGTGAAGAATTGGGGATGGGGTTATGGCATTGGGTTTACCGAATTCGAAAGCTGGAAACCTGGACATATAACATGTATAATCATATATATTTATATATATATATTTATACTCATCGCATCTTTTTTGGGATGGCTAAAATGGCAACTACCTGTATTAGCAATCCCCAGAAAGATAGAACAGGTATGAAGAGGTGAAGTTTATCGCCATATTTTATTGTGGGATTCTTGTTTTCCATACGGAAAAGAATGCACATGCATCCAATGATTTTGGTGAATTGCTGGATCCAGGAGAAACAATCCAGGTTTTTGAAGCCTCGTTGAGGTCACTCATGAAGGATGGCTTGCAGCGGCCAAAGTCTCAAATCAAACTTCATCCACTGAAAGCACAGGACAGCCGCGACAATCCAATACAGTGGGTGCAATTTTTGATTGTTCGAATCATTTCAATCGTGAAAAGCCAGCCCTCGAGCAGATGTTGTTCAATAAAATGTCAGAGCTGGAAACCCGGGTCAAAATACTTTTAAAATCAAATAAATGGGCATCAATAACAAAACAAAGCCTCAGAGTAGTTGTCCTCGCTTGATGCCGTAAATGCCCCACGGAAGGGAAGGGGAAGCTGGCAGCATGGATAGATTCGGATAGATAATAACTATATCTATATATTTATTTATAGTCTAGAGTCTATAGTATTCAAATGACTCGTTGCAGTTTGTTTTTGTAATTACGAGTAATTACGGGTATATGTTACTATGTTTTGTTTGCTTGCGGAGTGCACTTGAGAGGTGTCTAAATGCTGCAGTTCCAGAAAACGCAGTGCAGAACAGATGTGAGTAGCGTGTTGGATGTTGGTCTCTTGAAGGAGATGGCGGCACTGAAAGCCCCACCGGCGCTGACAGCCTCTGGATCGCCAAAAGAGGATGAGCAGGTAGTGGCTTTGCTGCAAATAAGGAGAAGGACACAAGATTAGACAAGAGGTACGTCTTCACAGCGAGTGCTGTATCATATTGTTCTAGCTTCGTTCAGCCGACCTCGCATAGGGCAAGCAGTTGAGTTGCACTTGAGCTGCAGTGATCAGTGCCAGGATAAGATCAAAGTGCATCTATCATGGCTGAAAGCTCAGCACAGAGCAGAGAAGGAGACTCAGGGCTCAGAGCATCTAAGGGCTACGGAAAGCATGGTAGGTAGGTGCCTTAAGCTCGCTGCGACTTTACGGCACTTTACAAAGACATGAGCCAAAAAAAACCATGAACCGGCTGTTTTCTTAACGTGCAGTGCTTTTTTTCTTTATTGTTTGGAGACGGAATCAGACAGCTCATTCTTCCCCGAGTAACTCTATATCCCAAACATATTATGTTAACCTGGCTTAGTAAAATGCATCCGGTCACTTTGGAGTGCAACTTTGCTTTTTCTTTCAGGAGGAACTTCGACGACTGGAAGGTTGCTTGTCAGATTCCATGCTACTAGAAAAGAAGGCCAGATGCATTGGACTGTTTTGGATGCAGGACTTGCAATAAAATTACAAGGTGTTTCTTGTCTCGATCGATCCATGTCTTCTTCACTCTGCAGTGCCAATCTTCCATTGTCATCAAAATCTTGATGATTTCTGCATTTCAATATTGGTTTTCGAACATGTAACATATATAACACAATTCCCGGGATGCTGCTATTCATCCATGCCATAGCATGCCATAGCCACATGGTCGTTCTACGTCGCCAAGCCGCCGCGATTTGGAGCCATTTGGAGCCCCAGATCCGGGGCCGTGCATCGTGACATGGCTAGAGAGGTCGATGAGTTACTTCGCACGCCCGAAGAAACCACGAGGAAGTGCACAGATGTTGGGTGTTTGATCGTCTTCGCAGCCATCTTGGGAGGTCTGGGCTTCTGCATCTATCGAAGTGTAGAGGCTGGTGATATTCAGCGTCTACAGTCCTTGCCTGACTATCAAGGCACACAATGCACCTGGCTTTCAAAAGTTGCGTTTTTTCTTTTAAACACGCTTTGGCACAAGTTCGTGTTTGCCCCACTTCTCCACCACAAGAAGTCCGATGACTTCCAGGCATTTAATTTCTTCTTGATCCAGGATCCATAATGATCTATAGAGATGATTAGAGAGCAAGTTGGGGTAATCTGCGGAATATAGATGAACTTAGCGGCAGCAACTTTAAGGTATGGAGAAGTTTGTGTTCTTTCCGTTGGATGACGGTGGCATCGACCTTCATCGGCAAGTCTGCGTGGATGTTTGCCCAGCATCCAGCACTGCAACGGTGGTGACCTACTTGAAACCCGAGGAACGACGGCTTGGGAGTTTGGTGGATGCCATTCCTGTAGGTATCTCAGAAACCAACAGCTTACTCCGGGCCCCCGCCGTCACTGCCACTATGGCGCCCTCCACGCCGGCGCCTGCGGCGCCTGCCACAGTGTCTCAACCAGAGGCGCCGGCGGAAGCAGAGCAGCCATTGGCGGTGCAGAGTCCAGCGATTTCGGTGAGTCCTTTCACTGGGGGCTTTCAAGGCAGCCTTAGTGTGGCGACTCCTGCGCTACCACCTCCACCTCCACCTCCAGCAACTCCTGTTCTTCAGGATGTGCCAGAGTCCCAGGAAATAGTGGTGAGGGGATATCCCAGCTTTCCTTTGGCAGGAGTTCTTTGCGTGCCAAACGTTCGTGAATTTGAGGGAAACATCACTGAGCTCACTGGGAAAAACATAGCCTTGCAAGCCGCCTTGCAGGTTTCAGAGCTTTGGCACAACCAGGAAGTGCTGCTACTGGCTGCTTTGGTGACTGTGGTTCTTTCCCTTACATTTCTTTGCTTCGTGGAGAACTGTGCCAGGAGTCTGATCAATATTTCTGTCACAGCGCTGATTGTGGTTCCAGCAGCCTTTGCGGCCTATTGCGTCTACAAACACCACGGGGCGATAGATACAGAGGGAGAAGAGAAGATTGGCGTTATGAGCCCGGAATTTGCTTGGTGGGCTGCTATTTCTGGCTTTACCATTTCAGTTTGCATGGTGATTTCTGCTTGCTGTCTGTGTGGCAGATGTGCAGGCGCTTCCCACACAGTGGAAGAAGCAGCTGAGTGCCTCATGACGATGCCATCACTCTTACTGGAACCCTTCCTTTCCTTCTTGATCAAAGTTCCCGTCTTCGTCCTTGGGTGTCTGGTCTTCATCATGCTCATAGGATCAGGTGAGTATAGTCAGTCAGTGGACTTGACCCAGCCTCAAAGCCTCTTCCACCCAGACTCATTTTCATCCGTGAGTGCTGTCTACTTTCTGTTTGCATGGCTATTGGTGATGGAGCTCCTCCATTACATCTCCGTCTTTGTGGTCATCTATGTGGCTGAAGTCTGGTTCTTCAAGCACTTTAAGCAGACTGAACGAGCTAGCTTTTGTGAGATGTGTGGGGTCAAGTTGCTGGTCAAAGGCTTTCTAGCAGCAATGCAGCACTTGGGTTCTTTGATCTTCGCAGCCATGTGTTTGGCCCTACTCCGACCCATCAGATGGGTAATTAAAGCCTTCCTAATGGCTGAGGAGGCTGCGAGCTACACGGAAGTTGGGACATGTGTTCTGAAAGTGGCACGCTGGGCAGTCGACTTGTGCTTCGCCTTTATCCAGAACCTGGGTGGAAGCAACAAGAATCAAGTTCTTCTTTCGGTTCAACTTGCCTTTGATGCAAACCGTTAAACCAGTGGCAACAAAGGACTCAAAACAAAGCGGGCTCTCAGATCTAGAATGCACGAATTTCATTTCATCGAAATACTCTGTGTACCGGAGCGTGGCAATGAGAACTATAGAGAATTTTCTTCTTGTCGGGGCCACTGGGATGACTTGTTTTGGGGGGATACGTGTAATGGCGATATTTTTTTTTTTTAAAGACTTGGGCAGTCGAGGAAAGTACTTGACCTGACCAGCCAAGTGGCGCTCATGCAGATTGCAATTGATGGAAGTGAAGGGTATTGCTCATCACTTGAATATGCGATGAGCAAGTATTCCTTCATGCAGCAAAATGGACCGTCATAGAGGGTGTAGGAGCACTCTTTGTAGTTCTTGGTGTCGGAGGCATTTCGACCGGGACCGGCTTTTTGGTATGGCTGGTGACCAGAACTTTCCCTCGGTACACTGAGCCTGACAGTGCACAGTACGCCATCCTTTGCTTGGTCAGAAAGGGTAGTGAGTGAAGCAAGTTTTAATTTTCCATACCTTGAGAATCCTTAAGATACCTTATAAGTACTTATTCTAGGGGGGCCGTTGACCTACTGGAACAATGAAGGTGGAACGGTATTTTTACCTGAGGGGTATCTGAGGGGTATATAAATGATGGTCGCATACGTTTTGTTTCATTTGAATATGTATCAGTAATTCAAAATTATACATTAAAACCTATCTATCTCAATCTCAAGACCCCCTTAGAATAATTGCCATCAACATGTCAAGACCCGTGGGGAATATAAATTTGATAATTATATGTTATGTGTATGTTTTTTTTGATGATGTTGCAGAAACTTGACAGCCAAGCAAGAAGTGTAAAGAGCCAACAAGGTTTTTAGATGATTTTTCCAAGTTTCTTTCCACCTAGTCAGAAAAATGCAGCTCTTACACAATATACAAATTGTTTTTGGTTTTAAACTAGGTGCAAGAACCCAAGAATAATTAAGATTATTCCAATGGGAGTAATTACCCATATTGGGGGGCCCATCAAGCCATGGTATATGTTTTTGTTTACACAGTTCGTGTTTTGCTGTGAGCTTGGGCCCCAAGCAAAATCTAATTTGTGCAATCGTCAGCATTTGTTGCCGAGGTATGTTTCAGATCCAGAAAGTACTGCCTTGGCATCAGGTTTCATTGCTCTTTTGATGTCTCTTTGCTTCTTGCATCACTTCCAGACCATCACGGACACCATTGCCTTCTGCCGGGGACTCCAGAATCGTGCATCAAAGTATGCTGAGGAGCCCGAGGGTGATGGCTGTTGCGAATGCTGGGGCAAGGACTCTCGCGAGACGGAGAAACTTCTGAGGAGGTGACAGGCAAATGACAAAATTTCCGAAAACATCCGAACATATCGGAAAATCGTTTGTGGCAGGGGCCATTTGTGTTGACCTAACCCTGTTAAATCCCACAACACGCAGCTTTCCAACCGTGTACATTGCTTCCAGTTCTTGACAAAAGTGGTGCTTCACAGCTGCCTGCTACGTGTACTCCAGAGAGGATTGCCTCCAAGCCGAGACAAGCAGTCAATGCATTGCTTCAGGCGAAGGATGCGTCTCCCTTTCTGAGTCTCACCACATGGACCTTCCTCCCATAGTGCACCGACGTATCTAACATGTGTGAAACTTGCTGAATTGTTATCTTCTTGATTCTTCTTGTTTCTAAATGAAACTTTGCAAGCAGACTCATTGTTACACGCAATTGGAGTGAGTTCTTTGTTTGAGGTTGAGTGTGGAAGGAACGGCCTGTCTACGTCTCACAGATCTATACAGATCTCAATGCGCTAAAGGTGTGCTCGGAGTAAAAACAGCTGTGGGGCGGTGCTGCTGGATCAAATGGTCCAGTCTTTGTGTGAAAAGCTTTGGACTATGCTTCCACGGCCACTGTTCAGGCGCAACGTCGAGCCATGCGAGACAGGGAGAAGTTCGAGTTTCACCAGAACCACGCGGTGGGGGGTCAGTTCTGACTTGGGGTTTGGGCTGGGGTTGCCTCATGAGCCTACTGGATGCGAAAAGAAATCAATAGGAACTGTTGCAGCCAGGCAAGCGCACGAAATTCCTAGACCAAATCACTGATCAGTTTTGTTTAGATTCTTATGATGATTTTTCGTTTTTTTCCCCCAAGTCACTTCGAGTCTTCAGTGTCGCTTCCTTTTCAACGGTGGCGACCTCGCTTGCAGAAGAGTTTCGTCAGGCGCAGGTGGAGGATCAGATCCAAGCATTGAAGGAAGAGCTCCACCAGCGGAAGGCAGGGCCAGGGCCGCCATGGCCGCCATGGCCGCCATGGCCGGAAGGACTGACTTCCGAGACTTCTGGAAACTGATTGGAACTGATTGTAACAAGTTTGTCCAAGGTGTTTTTGCTAGAAGTTTTTGCTCCAATCTCACTGTTTTGCAATTTGAACCAAGCATCCAAAGGCCTTACTAACACTAAAGAAAAGCAACAGAAGCAGCCAAAGGGTTTCGAATTGAGTTCTGTTTGGAAAGGTGCGGAACAGTGCGCCCAAGAAGACTGAAGAAACTCCTCAAGAAGCTCAAGAAGAGAGGCCTGTTCTCCATGAACATGCTGATCAATTCATCATTAGGCCCAACTGCCATTGTCAGGCCCAGTCCAGCAGAGGAGTCGGCTGGCAACTTGGCACCAGGGTTTGGCACCTTGAATTTCTGGGGGGGTTATTCGATTCAAAGGACCAAAGGTTGACCAAAGAATATTTGATTTATCATTTAGGTAAGCAAATCAAGAATCAAGCAGTACACTGTCATGCCATTCCTTATCATCCTTATCTTATTTACAGAGATGCACGTGTCATCATGTCCAACGTGCTGGAATGCTTTATCATCTAGGCATGCCTGGGTCAAAGAAAACTCTGTAAGCCCAGGAATGCAATTCTATTGTAGATGCACGATTTTTTTCAAGCATGAACTTTGTCAAACTCTATGCTTTCCGGAGCTTGACATGTCCATTCGGGAACCATAGTGGAACCGGTTTCGAAAACGTGTCATTCCATGAGGACGGTCGCAGACGGCTCCCGAAACGGCTGGAGCTCGTGAAAAGCTGGCAATCCTGGACGAGGATGAGGAACCTGAGGTGGGTAATTTGGAGATGGTGATAACATAGTGAAAACCATAGTTTTGCAAGCATGTGATGTTGGTTTATGTCGGTTTATGTTGGTTTATGTTGGTTTATGTTGGTTTACTTCGACTTATAACATCATTTTCTCTTTTCAAGTTGCATTTGTTTTAATCATTTAAACATATTTTAACATCTTTGGTATCTCACGATTTGAGACGGTCCCTTTTGCCTTCCACAATAAGCACTTCAGGTGGCGGAGGACTCCCACATGACGCTGAAGGAATACTTCGATGCTGCAGATCAGAGACGAGAGAAGGAAAGGCAAAAGAAATCGCAGCTTCTTGGCATTCTTATGCATTTCCACTAATTGTTTTATATCGATTTATGGCTTCTCTGAAAGATCTGATGAAGATCTGATGGTTCGTGGTGGCCCCTAGGCTCCTAGTCCTAGGTGCCCAGTTGGGTGTTGCACCGAGCTTCAGGCGATCACAATTGCTGAGTGCTTCGGCTCGATCACAGGCATGGAGACCATTGCAGACCGAGTTGGATTTGGGATATTCAGATAGCAACAAACCAACCCCCATCAAAAGCATCCCAGAATATCAAATCCCAGAAATTCACGTCGAAATTCCATCAAATCCCATCAGAAATTCATAGAAATTCCCTAATAACATCCCGTGTTTGACTTGATTTCTATGGTAGGACCTGGTAGGACGTAGGACATCCAGCTGCAGAGGCCGAGTCTAGACGAAGTTTTTGGCATCCCAGGAGGCAGCTCACGGCAGAAGAGCCACTTGGGACTGCATGATGGACTGGTCATGTTGGGTATATAATGGTATTATATCCCATAGGATCCATGTATGGTATATATGCTAACATTGGGGGTATAGTGATGGTAAACGTTACCATATATGGCATACATGGATCCTATGGGTATATACACAAAATATGTATATATAAGTTATATATATATATATATGTATGTGTATGTGTGACCTTTTGGTAATCCAGCTGTAACATAGCTAATGACGGAACATATTGGACAATCAGGTGAAAATCACATCAAATCGCCATTTTCTACTAATGTTTTCAATGGGTAAATCATTGGTAAATGGATAGAAAATTGGCATTTTCAATAATATATGTTGAATTATAGGAGGGTACCGCAAGGTATTCTAGGTTAGTTTCAGCCATCCAATTTTAGGGGCAACTAAGTTTGACCTACGGAAAGAGAATGCTATGCTACATAAATAATCATCATATATGCATATGGATGTAGATTGGTTGATAGGTCAGGCACACAGGCAGATAGAGGCGTCCCAGCCGAGGGCGCCCCAGCCGTTTAACCAGCCAGTGAGCTGATGCCTGAGGATTGCCCAAAATCATGAAGAGCCACTTGCCGAAGTTAATTTGCCATGGTATGCTTTGGCTCATGAATGCAATTAATTATCTAGAAATTTAAGGGGATTACTTTTGCTGAATTTCAGAGCGCAGAGTTCTTGTGTGAAAAAATGGTGTTCAAGGATGACACACGTTTACTTGCTCAAGCAAAAAGTTGGCGCAATGAGGTACAGAAAGACAATTCGTCAAATGATGATCGAAGCTTGACTGCTTGCACTGGATTTTGGCAGCTGTAGATTTGGATGTCATGATGTCAATCATTGCCTGTTTCATCTATGTACGTTATACAGTATAGTATTAATAGTATTAATAGTATTGTATATTTAGCATAGCCGTTTTTTGGATCAAACTTTCCTCTCCAAGTTTGGTCACTTAAAAAGTTCAGTCGTCACATTTGTCGAGGACAAATGTGGAGATGAACAGGATGACCGATCCATGCGGGCCAAGAAAGCCTTCAGAAAACTGGACCTCAACGGAAGCGGCAACGTGAGTTAATCACAGCTGCAGTGGAAATATGGCTGGATGGCATCAGTTTGTTCCATTGATATGATGATGTATGATATATGGAGAGAGAGAGAGAGAGACATATATATATATATATACTGTATATATATATATTTATTTATTTATTTACGTATTCACAGCATCTACACCGGGTGTTATGTAGAGTATATTCCATATAGAGTATACACATTATAGATTTATCATAGGAAAGCAGTCCTACTATGCTATTCTCTCAGATGTTCCACTGGATTTCGTTGCGGTTTTTCAAGTTTTTGTTGGGACGGCCAAACAGGCCGATGGCTAGCACTTTTGATGGGTGAATGCCTGTGATGGCCGGCAGTTGGACTTCAGTGTGAGCTTGGAAATCAATAGCAACCAATGCCTGGTGGGTGGTTTCAGTTTCAAAGGTCGTGTGTTTTCCAAGCATAATGAGTTGGGATGATGATTTGATATGATTCCCACCAACCAAAACATGTTTGGGATGGCTTGAAATCACCAGATGCAGAGGTACAGTTTGTTTTGCTCATTCCATTGGCCCCAAGGTTTGCAAGAGTTTGCTGATGGAGTAGCGAGGTGGGATGCCTCAAGTTGCTGATGTTTGCCGTTTCACGGATGATCCTGACGTTTAAGACGGTTATTTTTCATGTTTTTATATATTTGTATGTAGGGTGGCTGAGACCATTTGCAATACGAAAACCATTCGGCGTTTTCCTGTCAACCATCCGTCAACCTTGGGAAACCAATGGTTTTGCACCTTCGGATCCTTCGGCATCCGCAGAACTATCCCGGGTGCCCCAGGTTAGGAATCAACTGGCAAGAGATGACCGGAATGACTCGTCCTCGAGAGCTCTTCAAGATTTTTGATCTGGACAGCGGGAACTTGACAGGTCCAAAGTTTGATCCCTGGAGGTGTTGAAGACAAAATTTGAACACATTCTCGGCATGTCTTGGGGAGATGAAATGTCACTCCTGTAGAACCCCCAAAAAAATATCCCAAAGTATCCCAAAGATCCAGTAGTTCGCGGAACAGAATTCACTTTGAGAAGGCTTTGGCTATGGAGATGCTCTGGGCACAATCAGACATTTTTCGCATAACTCGCGGTGGAGGACGCCACCAACTCTCGGGTCCAACTTGGCCTGTCAGGACAAAGATGGTGTGATCGTTTTCTCAGAACTCTTTCCAGAAATGGAAGAGAAGGACCACATGCCAGTTCTTTTCCTACATGGTTTTTGTCCAGTTCTTTTCCCAAATTGGGTATTTGTCTGAACATTGGGTATTCCCAAATTTGATGCTAAATGGTAATCATTTCCGATGAAAATGGCTATTGAACTATTGTATTGGGATGTATTGGGTATAACAATTTTTCCGCCACACCCATAGCAGTCGTGGCTCTGACCTGACAGCGGCCTCGATCCAGGAGCAGGAACGAGTGAGCACGCCAGAATTTTGGAAACGTTGGGTGGAGAGGAACCGTGACCTGGAAAGCACCCGCGGACCCAAATGGCAGCCAACCACACCGGAGGCGGGAGATATTCAAAATTGAGAGTGAAGATGCTCCATGTGCAAACATGATGAAATATGATGAACATTGTGGAACATCATATGGAGTTGATGGAGAATTGATGACAGTTGTAGACATCATGGCACAGAGTGCCACTGGACAACGGGTGCCCAGGCAGAACTGGAGCTCCTGTACAGCACCTCTGATACTTGACGTTGCCGCGGCGCGTGTGATGGCATGGAAGCATTGGAGAAGTCCTGACATCAAATTTTGGACTTCATCCATGTGTGAATAAATATGCAAATGCATGTGAGTCAGTATAAAGCTTGGTAAAACCTGGCAATTCCATATGTGTATGTATGTCTATGTGAGTAATCATAAACCCTAATAACGCCATGTATCTAAATCATATCCCCTAGCAATTCCACATCTAAATCCACCCCTATTTTTTAAAGGTGTTTCCACCATTGATCAGCGTAGCTACTGTCGTGCCTAGGAGAAGCACGACAGTGCCAGCGAGCTCCGAAAGTGGATGGCATCAACCATTCATCGCCTCAAAAATCGTGGCAAGAGTCACCTGACAATGGAAAAACCCGGTTTTTAAACCAAGCAGTTGGTGGGAGTAAACCTGATTAATTAAAATGAGTATGTATATATATATATATGGAGCGAGAGGGAGAGAGAGAGAGGGATCTATATATGATTATATATGTATATACAATTATATTATACAGTGATGTTGATATATCATGATATATTTCTAAAGTTAAAAGCAACGATCATGAGGATAAAATTGGAGATGTCACCAGCAATAATATGGTACATGGTGTCTCTAAATGGGGTATACCCATGTATACCCTTAAAATGAACATGCTATTAATAACAGAGGGAATTTTATGATCAATCGTCAATCACTGGATTTTGCGGTATCAGATGTCCACAAGCCCACACAGTTAGATATGGTTTTGTGAGGATGAGGTTGATCGTGGTTGAATTTTCAGAATGCACCACGGCTGATGACATCCTGGTGGAACACCATGACCATGACAAACGAGCCCTTAACTCTTACGGACACATCCTGGACAAAGTATGTGTAGCTTCCTTGCGGGTTAATTCATTGGGGAATTGCTAATTAAGCATTAAGCATTTTTTTTTCACCTCCAAGTGGATGATTAGATTCCAACAACATCAGTGGGTCCATCCATTGGTATACCATGGCTGGCATCCCAGCCACGGCCCAGGGCGGGCTGTTTTTAGCGGCGACGCTACAATCGCCCTTTTTTGAGGTGACGCACGGTGCCGTGAGATCGTGGCAGCGCATTTGCCACGTGGGACTGGGCCAAAAGATTTGGAAGATGTTCATACATTTAGCGACTTGGCAGACTTGGCAGACTTGGCTCTGATGAAATCTCTGATGATTCTGGATCACTGGATCATTGTGGAAGAATTCGAGCAATTTCCGAAGATTTTGGAATTGGCTTGGCAGTAAGGTAGTGGACTTTGCGTACGCTTTCTTTAGGATGTGATGTTGACATTGTTCTTTGTTGTGGTTTTGCTGTCTCTATGACATAGTAAGTGACAGTGTCACGATCTCACACATGATCTCAGAGATTCCATCACTTGCTGGCACAATCACAGATTTGTTATTGCGCCGGAAGATGTTGGGAGTTTGATTAAGAAATCTTGCGTAAAGGTCTCACTGACCAGGTTCCGCAGAAGTGAAACTTTGCAAAAAAACCTACAACGATGAGGAGCGCTCCGAGTGAAAAGCTGGCAGGAAGCAGACAAGCCAGGTAAACATATATGGATAAGAATGATCACATATATACCCTCTGGATCCCTCTGGTAAACTAACATAACTATGGAAACTCAGAATTTTTAATGGGTAAATCAAATCAACTATAGCTATGTCAGCCATTACCAGAGGGTAGTAGCTATACCAAACCTTGCAACCGTGGGATTTTCGCAAGACTTGTGTTCTCCCAAAATCAGGATTTCGGGCAGCCCCCCTGGCTTCATCTCATATAGCTTGGTCGACTGGGCAGGTCAATGATCCGGTTCGAAACATTCAGAAGGTCGTTTACGACTCTTGACTGTTCAGTGGGCAGCGTTGGAAACTGTTTCCATCTGTTTCGCATGTGGAACTTTCGCATGTGGAACTGGAACTTTCGCATGTGGAACTTTCGCATGTGGAACGCAGTGGTGGATCAGGAAATTTCTACAGCTTTCGATTCCGATTTGAATCTGTTTGAGAGCCGGACCATGACAACCAGCCGTAACCAGCTTCTTTCCAGGCCATCACCAGTCTCCCTCGGCTAAGGACATGCGAGAGCAGCGACGCCAGCTCCACGATTCAAGACAGAAACTGTGGTCACTGACCATGGCACCTTGGACCTTGGGGAAGTTGACCAGGTAGCCGCGGTAGCCATGTTGTTACGGCCATCAAACGAGTAGTTGTTAATGTTGGAAAGCAAACAAAACGACTACAATTTGGGGATTATTTATAGAACCATTTATGGCTTTTCATTAAGTCTGCAACGTTAGTTTCTTGAGATTTCCTTCGATCAGTTTGATACGACAACATCGCTTTAATCCATGCCATGCTGTGTCCCTGGAAGCACGCGAAGCACGGCAGTGTATTGCCATGCAAGCAGCTGGACTCGCCTTTGTCATAGACCAAGTACCAGTACGGTTTGGATACTCAAAAGTGAAGGTGCTGAATTTGGTGTTGCTTTGCCGTAGCTACCAGCCACTTAGCCACTTGATAACAGCACTGCTGTTATCAGGAGCCAGTGATGCGCAAACAAATGGAAGAAGATCGAAAGAACGCTGCCACAGCAGTTGGCCTATCACTGGGTGGCATGGGACCATCCATGACTGGCAGCAAGGCTGGGGGAATCCTTTGTTGGGAATCCATGGGAAAGAGGATAGTGACCAGCCAGGCAGGCCACAACAAAAAGTGCGAGAAGACAGTGCGATGATGAATACCCTGTATTCATTCTGATCATCCTGTATCCACCTGTATCCTGAATGATCCTGTAATTATCCCTAGAATATCCTAAGATGTTATAGGATGTTGGTAAAAGATGCTAAAAAACATGCTAAAAACATGCTAAAGACATGGTAAAAACATGGTAAGAGGCAGTAAGACGGGTAAGACTTTCATTTCCCATAGGATCCATGTATGGCATATATGCTAACATTGGGGATATATTGATGGGATCCATGTTACCATATATAGCATACATGGATCCTATGGGTTTAGGGTCCAACTATCCCTATTCCTAACCGTTCCTAACCTGTCGGACCTGTCGGACCTCACTCCTGAAAACCGGTGACCTGCTGATGCTGCTTCAGGAGGCTGAAGCGCCAGGGCAGGCCGAGGGATCGGTCAAATTAGGTTAATGATTAATGACACTTATACACATACGTATATATAATTAAAAATCTATAATATATAAATTATATAAATTATAATGATCATTATGTTTTTTTTACTATTATTACTATTATTAGTTATTATTATTACATATTATTATTCTTATCATTTTTTTTAAAATATTAGTATTATTATTGTTGTTGTTATTACTATTATTATTTAGTCATTAAGTCAGGTAAGTCATTGAAACACAGTTCCATTATTCAACAAGTACAAACAGATGGCTACACACATCAAACATCTACTGTACATGTTGTTCATTCCATTTGTTTTGGGGCATTATCTCAGAGGTTCGTGTGCAGGGCTTCATTGAAACGGAACCAACCGACAGCGCAGGCGAAAAAATCCATGAAGGCCATCGCTCAGCAATGCAAAATGGATGAAGATACGGTGGAATTTCTACATCGAGATTCTTGGCTCGGCAGTGACGGTCGTTGCGAAGGGGGGTGGCAACAAAACTCTAAACAACTCACTATACAGTATCATACGTATCATAAGGCAATATAAGGCATACATGTTTCGCAAAGTGAAGAAATTGAGAGAATCTGACAGGAATGATGTCACGATTGCATTGTCTGAGTATAGTGATATTTGGTCTGAGTATAGTGAACCACCACTTGCTTCATTTGTGGTGCATCCAGGATTCCTTTCCACACGTTTCCGTTGATCTTGATCTCAGGAATTTACTGCCCAAGCAGACAAGACTGACCTTATTCTGAAGAAGGCCTCTGACTGGCACGATTTGTGTCATGTTGCTGGTGATAATCTGATTTTCCACAGTTAAAATCGTCAACACCCTATAAAATCCCTGAAAACATCTTAAAACTTAAAACCCTCCACTGGACCCTTGGGATGGCGATGGGGAGAGAGAGAGAGAGAGAGACATCTTAAAACCTTGTACTTACATATTATACTTATAAATGGTGAAATCAAAAAAAAAACAATGAAATTTGATAAATCACCCGAAACTATAATCGACTATAACAGAATCTGTATGAACTTTGCCAGTCACTTCCCAGGGCTTCCAACGTCTCCTCCGTTCTTTGTGCCTAGGGCGTGACCTGGCCATGGCTTGTTGCTGGGGAGAATGATGGGAGATCCCCGCAATATACTGTATTTAACGTTGACATAATGGCCATAAAATAGGTATAAATGATGCCCGCAATAGTGATCGCAATTTTCAAACATAAATGTAAAAGGATCATTGATATTATCATGTTTAACATATTTATCCGGATGGGAGTGTCACTTCGTTGGTGTTAGGCAATTCTCTATAATGTGATGTTACATGGTGGTATATTATAACAAAACAGATGTCAAATGGATATTTGAGAAAAGATATACATGTGACAGACCCATTACCATACTGTTTATTATATATGGATGGTGGTGGTGATGTATTCTTCAAATTTAGTGATATTTCTGGCCATTTTATATCCTTTGCTTTGCCATTTCCTTGGCCTTGCCATGAATGCAGAGAAATCCATGTCCCATATTGTTGATATTGGTTTCCATGATATCCCATTCCGTCTCAATATCAACAACATCGGTTGGCCACCTGTCAACCCTGTCAACAAACACACGCTGCCGCGGTTTGGGGCACCTCCCAGGCACAATCTCTGAGAGTGACATGAACTACTGGTGCCTTGATTGATTGGTATTCGTAATGGAGAGTTCTTTTACAAATGGAAGTGTAAAAATTGGGAGAGAATGCGAGAATATGCGAGAATCATTGAAACCTTCCCGATAAATGCAGGAAATTCGATTGCCATGTTCTATTACCAGAGGGTAGTTTGAAACTGATATAAGCTACGGCCATAGGGATCCACATAGTTGGTGCCTTTTGCTCATTGAACCCTTGTCACTGACGCTGGACAGCCACAGAAGGGGCATCCGAGATCATTGAACCGAGCATGACCGAAACGTATTATAGAGGGAGAAGGAGAAAAAACGATGACTGTATACACTTGACCAGGCTATTTGGTTAGTGCACAATATCAGCGCAAGGTAAGGATTCATAATTAATATTATTAGTGTTGGCTACTGATTAATGCCCCCCCTCAACAATTTGCGGGTACTCAATAAATCACCATTTTAGACGACCCCCCCCTGAACAATTTTTAGGATAGCCAGTCAACTTATATAAGTAAGCATTTCAATTGACATAAATCTACTTTCAATTGATGTTCCTTTCAAATCCAAAAAAAACACCAAAGTTTTTGTGCACAATAGACGAGTACCATCGAAACAATTACATTATTTTGGGTGCTGTTTTTTTTATAAGGGTTTATTAAGGCATCTAATTATTTGGGAAACCTTGCATTTTCAAGGCTTTACTATAGATATGGCTTTCTAAAGTAAATGGACCAGCTTTACCCAAAGAAAGGTGTATAAAGGTGGATAAAGCTCCTCCTAAAAGAACTGGATCTGATAAAAAACTTCTCACAATAGAGGCCCCCCCATTCGCAAGATACTCAATTATTTTTGAACATTTTCTCACAATAGAGTCCCAGGACACTAATCGGTATACTACATATATTATTATGGATCCTTTGGGTTTGCAGACTGCATCCACCGCCAGAAGGCCTTGCAGCTAAGGTGGGAACAAGCAGTCAAGACCATGCCGGCACAAGAAGATGTACGCAAGGCAAGAGTCATGTGGGGAGCTGCGCAGGTCCACATCTATACGGCACTGCAATAATGGGAATTGTATTGGGGCAACTATCCCAAGCCGAACATTTCAGGTTAGTGAACTATTATTTATGTTTGAAGCCAAGTCACTCAAGTCACGTATAAGTTTCACAGTCAATGATCGGTCGATGTGAGTCAGATCAGTCATGGAGATCAATCATCAGTGCGTCCTCAAAGCAGTCCTCGGACCAGCTTGTTTGAAAATAGGATGCCCTCCAACCCACTGAGTGATCATTCATCATCACAATCTTCAGCATCATACATGATATTTCAAATGGCATATCCACAGATAATTATATATATATATGTCCAAAGAAAACGTCATTGATGGATGTTTAAATCGGTGTTGACCATAGTCGAGACAGGTGGATTGGATTGGATTGGATGAGCAGATAGATTGATAGATAGATGGCTGGATGGATAGATAGATGGGTCATGTATATACTTAATATATATATACACCAGTCATTACCAGTCCCAGTTTGTCCAGGCTCAAGCTTGTGACTTTGAGCACTTTGCATCATGGTACGCCACCTCGGAGGCCCGCACCGTTTGAGTTGCTCGGCGTTGATTTCGGTCGTCGTATCTCATTTCAGTCATTGCATTAATAGTGGTCATTGATAAGTGTTAGTAGGGTTAACAATAGTGTTAATACTAGGGTTAATAGTTAATACTAGGGGTAATAATAGGGTAAATATTAGGGGGGGTTGATGATAGGGTTAATGGTGGGTGGGCCAACCACCATGAGAATATTTCATGAGACTATTTTATGGGAATATCATGGCCATGGAAGATCATGGGATATATGACCAATCAGATGACATGATTCTATATATAATGTCCCATTCCATTAATTACTGTATGATACCCCCAAGTAAACTAACAGTTTGCTGTGGAAGCCATGGCCCATATATTTCGATGGTTTATAGTACTTCTTCAAAATGGTGATTTTCCACCATTTTCCACAAAAAAAAAAAACTAGCGATTTGCCAAGCTTTACCGGAAGGCTGCGAGTTGCGGTACATTTGATGTGGGATCTCCTGACTAAGGGTGCTGCCACCAGATGGCGAACGACGGTGCCGTCGAAAACAGCGGATCGGAGGATCGGATTTGACAAAGCCGGGCTCGAAAGCAGTTCCAGGCATTGTCCAACGTCCCAAGCAGGGACAGCAACAAAAAAAGATCATCTATGTTGTCCATGGGTCATTAAATGTCCCCATTGAACATCACCCAACCATTAGGTATATGGTCTATAATGGCTACTATAAGGTGATGTCCAATATACCCAAAATGGGACAGTTACCAACCCCTGTTGTCTATATGTTTCTATATGGTAAAGCGTTCTTCAATGAGGTTGAATGATTACCAATATTGTTATTCATTCATATCAAATTAGGTCAAGTCGAAAATTATATGTTTTTGGCAACAAATGGCAACATGTTTGGCAGCAAAGACTTCTAACATCACTTTTTAGATATCATGTGATTTTCGCTTTTGGCGTTTTTTTTTTGGGTCCTTGGAAGCCGGTACAAGATGTGCCGCCGTCCTTAGGAATCGCCAGTTGTTCTCTGCCAGCAAAGGCGGGCTGCGCGTTTGCATCTAAAAGGTGCAGGCAGCGGTTTCACCCGAGGGTTTGCTCTCACAGAGCCAGTGTTAAAAAGTTGAGGGGGCTTGCTGCTGCTGGAACTTGAAGGCAATGCAACCGTAAAATGCCATAGATGTCAGGGATGGTCGGAGTCAAAATATTGAACATGTATGTGGTTCTCTTTTCCCAACTCCGCATGCAATGTCTCCTGTGTATATATCAAGGCGGGGGCATTTCCTGAGAGTCGCGTACTAATTTGAAAGACCTTCCAACTTTGGCTGGAAAGCAGCCGCTTGTGGCAGCTCATAAGGTCCGTCTTCATACTGGCAGGCAGCACCAGCCAGCTTCCCAGTTCACTAGGCCAGGAACAATTTGGTCCATATACATACTATCAATCTCTATGATTCTCTATGTATTTAAATTATTTAATGTATTTGCGGACCTTTTGATGCCTGTGGTTCGGCCTCAGTCTCAATCCTAATGGTTCTTGTTTTTGTCGAAGAGTCGAAGGCTGACATTTGGGAGCGAAAATTGGCAGTTGTCAGCTGTCAAACTGGAACTACACAATTTTAATTGAAAAACGACAATCCTATGTACCGCACACATCCGCACACGTCAACTCTCATGGTGCAAACCATCCTCCGCTCCTCAGGATTCGTGCTCATTTGGCTTTTGAAGGTCATCCTTTAGCCGCTTGGATCCGGTGATTTTCCGTCGGAAGGCGAGAAGACTCGCCATGACTCGCCACCTAGGTCGGTGACACTGGCTATGGGGGTGATGCAGAGTGGTTTGGCCCTCAACATGGCTCAACATGGCTCAACATGGCGGCAGCGAGAGATAGCGGGTGCCGAGGTGCTCCCGCACTTTCCTGCATTCGGCAAAGCTGGCACTGACCGTATGGAGCTTGGATTTGGCCAGGTCGAATCCATGGGGGATTCACCATGATTCTGATTCAACTAGTGGTGAGACAAGGCTACCTGAAACAAGTCCTGGGGACATCATGACCACACCCCAAACTTGGCCTGGTGGTGAAAAGGCAGGTGATCCCAACTCGAAGTTGATGAAATCTCGGCAAACTGCCTTCTGGCCTCTAGAACTCAGTCCGATTGGCCCTTCCCAGGCTGGGAGGCCGTTTCAAGTCACTTGTCCATTGCCTGCAGATCTTCAAGAGATCTTGATGTTGCTGGAGACATTGGGGACTGTTCAAGGGAGATGTCGTCAGACTATGTCCGACTGATTTAATATGGATTCCGAAGTCACGGTTCAGTTGCAGATGTTGGTTGCTGCATGTTGCTGCGATGTTTCTTGGATGTTTGGGGTCTAGCGGGGTTTATTAACCATGAAGCATGGGGATTTCACCACCAACATCACCAAGCATTGGGTACACTTGGGATCCACTTGGGATATCTTGGGATTGCCAAACTATTTTGCTGGAAGCTGCATCTGGTCTCGAGGAGCCCATTTCGTCAGAGCACCGTGCAGCCATTGAAGCCATAAGAGCAGAGTTTCTGGCAAAAAATCAGCTGTCGCGTCCAGCCGGGTGAAGTGCAGCTACAAGACAAGACGGGACAGAATGACGGATTGTTTCAATAGTTTAGTCCATATCGACTTATGACGCAAGCCTTGCAGGTTTCAAAATTTGCGAAGACATTGGGACGCACTTGGGATACGATGGATATGTGCCAATCATGTGCAGCTATTAGTTTAGGACATGGTGCGAGCTTGCAAAACACAAGGAGAGCCTCTGCACTGCCTGGTAAACTCTTATATAGATCATTATAGATCATTCTAGCCAGCTGTTGGCAAGTTGAACTCCGCTTTGCAGGCATTTCTTGGGCTCTATTCTATAAGGATTGCCATCAACTGCCTACTCAAAGCCACCATCCAGCCAAGCTGAAAGCCACAACTACCACCGACCAGCCGTTATTCCTGTCCAGCTCATCAACGTGGTAGCTCTATAGGCTAGTGGCTTTTGGTATTTCTATGTATTTCTTGACCCACTGACCCACCAGCATCTCTGCGGCAAACCTTCAGACATCGGATGCACATAACCAAGCAAGGACTTTGTGAGATAACTATACATGGGCTACCAGCGATCGTTCTCTCCCAGGCTCAACAGCGGTGTATTGGAATGGGCTTGTCATGATCAGCCCACCGTGTTGGCAGTAAGATGCAGTAAGGCAAAATTCTATAAACATTTGTATACATTTGTCGTATGTTCTGTGAGTTGCAAGATTTGGATGTTGAGTTGCCTCCGTCATCAGAACCATCCAGTGCCAGGCGCAGCCGAAGCCGCACAGCGCCCCGTGGCAGCCGTCCGCACAGCCCGCCGCGGCGCTCCCCACCACGGCGCTCCCCACCACGGCGCCGCAGCGGCAGCCGCCGGCGCACGCCGCCCCGACGCTCGCCGCCGCGGCGGCGCAGTGGCAGCCGCGACAGGCGCACCCCCCCGCGGCGCCTGTCTCGTGGCAACTCGCGGCGACGAAGTCCACCCAGGCGGAGTCCACTGAGGAGGAGTCCACGGCGCTCACCCAGGCAGAGTTTGTTTTTCATAATTCATCTTTCAAATTTGTTGGGATCTTTTTGGAATGCCCAGAGGTTATCTAGAGAATTCTAGAGAGATATTCTTGGATCGTATCAATTGCATGTATGATGGCATTTGTTGTGACTTGGAATTTGGATGAATTTGGTAGAACCCCATGCCCCTTCCAAGAGAACATGAGGCGCGGCTCCCCTGGCCGTCGGCCCAGCCCGCGGCGCTACAGCCGCAGTGCTGGCCGCGACGGTCGCGACGGTCGTGACGGGCGCGACGGTCGCGACGGTCGTGACGGGCGCGATGACAGGGACCGCAATGGCCGTGATGGAAGATGGAGCCCAGGTCGGGGCGATGACAGGAGTTCCTTGGCCTGAGCCTGATGGTGGCCCCAGAGTTGAGTTACAAGATTTGGGGATGTTCACTGCACAGCATGATGCAGCATGATTTACTGTATAATATCTGTAGTATGGTAGTAATTATATATATTTATCATGGCCTATGAGAATGATTAAGTTAAACATGTTAAATTTACGTAATTAGATAAATACATGCATAGATACATAGATTACATAGACAAATGAACGCATACATTTACACACACATATTATAATATTGAAGCAGATGATGTAGAAGGACTTGTAGGTTGTGTCAGCCATCACCTGATGAGGCAGACCTGGCGATGAAGTCAACGATGGCAAAGGGCAAGGTGCTGTTGGCCGCTGCCACAGAGTGGTACCCGGTTGTTCCCAAAGTCGGTAAATGACACAAGTGTCGCTAACTACCCTCTGGTGAACTAACATAGCAATGGAAAATGGCTATTTATAGTGGATTTTCCCATTAAGAATGGTGATTTTCCATTGCTATGTTAGTTCACCAGAGGGTACATCTAAAATATATCCTCATCCAGTTTGTATCTCTAGATTTTTTGCAAGTGCTCTTTAACATCTTCCTTTTTTATGTTCCAAGTGATTCAAACATCATCAACAGATTAACAGCATCATTCCAAAGTTGACCATTTTAAGTAGGCCACGGTATGCCACGGGGAGCTGTGCTGAAGGTGCTTCAGCACAAAGCCTGGACTCAAAGAATGAAGGCGATGGGGAGCCAATTGGAACATGGAACTCACAGGTCGTTGAGGCCTTCTGAAGGGCCGCTTATAAGACATCAGTTTCTAAAAGAAAATAGGACACAAATCATAGATTCATTGTCAGATTTGACTAGAGATCCAACTAGATTTGAACAGAACTTGACTTGCATGTTCTGATGGTAGATTGGCGATCGAGAGAGAGAGGTAATAGTATTATTATAAATTTAACAGCATCGATAATAACAAGGATAATGATATTAATATAATATCATTATAATCATGTGTGTAGATTCATTATAATATGGGTGTAAGCTCATTATACAGGAGGAGAGTAAAATGGTGTCCATTTGCAGGCAGTGGCCTTCTGACAGCTGACGTGCTAGCAGAAGCGGCTAAGAGGCTATGGGGTTCAGGGACCTTGAACTTCAGCAGCTGGAGGTTAAAAAGTTGGCAACATGAGTGCAGGATGATGCAGGTAGCTGAGAAGTGATCAGTGCAATATGATGATTTTGCATATTATTGCATGCTATTCTTGGACGATTTGAACGTGCACGAAAGTTCCCCCGTGCCACCAAGATTATCCAAGATGTGCTTGTTTTCAGGGCTGCCTTAGCACGTGCCAATGCCATCAAGACTCTCCACGCCTCCAGAGATAGAGCTTGTGCCGCCTGTCAGCTGGGGTTTGTCAGCAGATGGGCAGAATGATTTGGGGCCACGTGACACAAGTTGCAACTGCTCTGCCGTAAAGAGATGGATGATTAGTAGAGGGGACACCATGGTGACCCCATTAAACATCCAATAGTCATGCCCAAAAAGATAGGAAAATGAAATCCCACGAATTAATTTCCTATCTTTGTGGGGGTTGCCATAAATTTTGATAAATGGCTCTATTCCCAGCCCATTTGCTGCCCATTCTTTTGTACTAAGGTCTTCTTTTTGCAGGGGCATTGCGGCTTGGCGTATCTTGAAATGCTGACAAGTGCTCCATTGAGTCATAATGAGTAATTAGTCACATCCACATGATAACATATGTGTCTAAGGACTTTTGATTACGTATGTCATCTTGCATCCACTCGCTTTCAGATAATACCAGTCATGCAAAGTAATGATGGCAGATAAACACTGTTCGAAGTTCTAAAGATGGATAGAGCAAGAGTGATGAAGCCAATTTCAGAATCATGTTGATCTGGCTGCAATCTTATGCCAAACAATGTCCCGGCATCCTGGAGCAGCCGCCAGGCAAGCTGTATTCCAAGTGCACCAATTTTCATCCTTCAGATGAGGCCGAGAAGCAGCGATCCCTGGCCAGGAAAATTTCGAAAATCGCAGATGGCCAAACTCCAGAGAGAGAGAGAGAGAGAGAGAGGGATTAGCAGCATAGAAGGGGTGGCATATACAGATCTAAGACAAGGAATCTAGTGACTAGTGTTCTGTGCCTGTCTATGGCCAAAAGGCCAAAAGCATAAGATATCGGTGAGATGCGGTACGGCAATAGCAGCACCACTGCACTATCCCATTCTCCATCTCCCAAAACTGTTGACCAAGGATGGCTTGATGACTACTTTGCCACGAAGTGTATGCTGGCAGAGTGGGCTACTTACTCTCTTCATCTCTCTTCAAAACAATGATGTAATTGTGGAGATGAGCGGAGATACCCTGAGATACCCCAGTTTCAATGGGAGTATCATCTTCATCAGGGTATCATTCCCGGTGTTTCCCTGCCGAGGCGATGTACCACACCAGCACCTTGACAGCAACGACCGCAACCGAGCAAATTCTATAGCATCTATAGCAGTTCACTGAATATAACTGATGATAACTGATGAAACCCTGATGATGGATCTCCAACAAATCTCCAATATATCCCAAAAGTATCCAAAAGTTTCCAAAAATATGTCAAGATTCCAAATGATTCCAAAAATATACAATGATGTTCAATGGCAGTTTCATGGACATCATTGGCCGCAATGATCATTGGCCGCACGAGACTCACAGTGACTGCAAGGCATGCCTCTACAACCACCCAGGGCAGGTGAGAGGTCAGCCACCTCCAGGGGGAACCATCGAAGATGCTGAGCAGCAGGCGCCCCGGCTCCAGCGTCGAGTTCACTTTATGCCTTTATGGATAGATATTAATAGATATGCAATGACCTAAATAGAACATGTCGTGTATATATTCATTCTATCTATCTATCTATCTATCTATCTATCTATCCATCCATCTATCCATCCATCCATCCATCCATCTATGTGTGTATATATATATATACACATGTGCGTGGCTGTATATCAATATACATGTGTATACCTAAATGTGTATCTTCCCGCCTCAAAAGTGCAGGACGCCCAGGTCAAGATGGAGAAGGCCCAGGGCCCCGCGTTTCTGCCACATGCTTCGTTGGAGCTTAAGGAAGCAACAGGAACCAGGAAATACCCCTGTGGAAAATCACCATTTTTTTATGGGTAAATCAACTATAAAGACTAAAAATGGCAATTTTGAATAGCGAACTGTTAGTTTACCAGAAGGTAGTGGAAGCACATGGCACTGGCAGGTACAAAGAGATAAGCTGAAAGTGGCACAGGACACGCTGCATGTGCCAACATGTGCCAACTGCCGAAAGGGACAGAATTGGGACTCAAAGCATTCTACGAACTGGAAACTGGAAACTGGAAACTGGCTGTGTATGGCTGTTTGGTTTGCATGTTTGTTATGCTCTTTGGGAGTTTCACAAGATAAATCAGTATTAGCAATATATCAGCAATCTGCTGTTGGGAATGCGGCTGCAACTTCGGAAGCTTTGCTGGAAGGAGACTGCCATGAGCAAAAACAAATCAGCTCCTTGATGGAAGATCAGGAAGGGGATGGTGTTCCACTCATATCTCGCTATGTCTCCATAACATGGTTAAAACCACTTATCGATTGATGATAGATTATGTCCCTACAAAATGGATTATATAACCACTATAAACAACGAAAAAAAACACTATAGGTTTTCTTTTGACTCTCAAACGCAGGATGTGAAAACCGCTCTATTTCGCACTAAGGATGAGAAGCCGCAACACCTCAACGAGGCGCCATGCAATTGTTGGATGCTGTTAAATACATATTACCCAAATGGATCCAAAAAAATGTCAAACAAATGGATGATTTTTTTTATATGTTCCAAATGATGTTTTTTTTTTTTTATTATTTTGTTGATTCAAAGATATTCCATGCTTCAGGCGGCCTCCACAGCAGCCATGAAGCTGGGCTTGGGCCCACCGGAGCCGCCAGGAGGTGGCAACGGAAAGACATGGAAAGCACCCATAGTTTGGCATAGCTATAAATTCTATAGATGATATATTGGACATGGATGATGTATGGATATGAGTGCATGTTTCCAGGCAGCTCCAAACCAATCCAAATCATGCATATATATATATATATGTATATATAATATATACATACTGTATACAACAATACGATTATAGGCATAGGTATAGATATATAGATGTGTGTAGATTATAGATGGAGGCCACAGACAAATATGGATTTAGATGTGCATATGTAATTATACATACATATACATTATATAATATATATATATACACACATATATATATACACATATACACACACACACATATATATATATATATACATGTGTGTATATATATACACACACATATATATATATATACACATATTGTATGCGTGTTTCGATTCTATCATCAACAGTGATGCCAGGTGCAGCGCCCGAAGCACCTGGGCAACTTGGATTGGATTCATTTCCACGGTGATTTGGACGGGATTTGGGCGATCTTTTCCAATGATGATAAACCCCCAATCCATAGCTGGGAAAATGACAATATACAAAAAATGATTGGCACTTTCCAATGATTACAAACTATGATACAGTAATACATGTCCAACATTGATATAGTTTATGATAGTTGACCATTTTTTCCAATGATGATAAACTATGATAAACTGTGGGATGGGTGTTGGAAAACCATCCAGGAAAGCGAAGACGGGCATGATGGTTATCAGTGTGATATCAGCAATTGAAGGCTGGATAGGGACTGAAGGGTGAATTACATTGTTCTACTCTTACATTGATCATGGTTGGCTCAAGTTTGGTTCAAATTGGCTCTTCCCATGCATTCTTCATCACCCCACTTCTCCAGCATGTGGCGCATCATCGCAACTCTGTGCCTCACAGCCGTGGCGGAGTTCACCCCCGAGCAGTTGGATAAAATGTCGTCTTCAATCCAAACCACCGCAGATCAGTTGCAGGACAAGGTGGTTTCGCTGAGCAAGGATATTTTGCCATTGAGCTTGAAGATCAACAACTTCCCCACCCAAATGCTCACTGCAAGTGATGAGGAGAAGGCTGCAATTCAAAAGGGTTTAGAGGCGACCAAGACCCAAATTTGCGGCTTGGTGGATTCCTTGAGCAAGGTCCAGGCCGAGGTGCAAAAGGATTCCGCGGACGCCAAGGACACCGTGGCAAAGATCCAGGCGCAAGCGACCGACATGGCCGGTGACCTGGAGAAGTTGAATGATGGCCCCACGATGCAGCACTACCTGGGCAAGTTCCAAAAGGCCATCGGAACCTTGGACTCAGCCGCCACGTCTGCGGCGACTTACACGGGAATGACGGCCGCGTGCAAGGAGCAGGAAGCCACGTCTCGGTTGTACCTCCAAATGGCTCCAGTGTCCAGTGTCAAGTTTCATCTCCCCTCAGCTCTCCTGGGTGCTTTGGGTGCTGCGGTTCTTGGAGCCGCCTTTGTGATCTTCCGCACCAAATCCGCCCGCTCACCACTGGCACTGATGGAGGAGGGCACCTTGGAGTGAGAGGAGTGGGCCACTCTGAGCCAGTGCATCTTCGATGTTTTGGCAGCGTTGCGACTCCTGGGCAGATGTCCCAGGGGATGACAACTGCTGATGGCTTTAGCATGGAGCCCCCTGCTTCCCGTTTCAATATGTTTCAATGGTGAAGCCCTGCGGGCACTTCAGCAAAAAAGTCCACGACATCATGACATCATGTATGATTTTCGCACCGCAGTATTCAATGTTCGATGTGTCATTTGAGTCCTTTGACGTCGCTGATGTAGTTGCTTTGGGATTTGGGTTTCTTTGCTGCCCTCCACTGCCCACATTTACCTGTTTGGCTCAGGTCTGGAGACGCTGATGAGGACCCTATGGACGCAGAGATTCGAAAGATGATGGAACAACAGCATCCTGGCACGTTAGCCAAAGAATCGTGGACCCGTGAGCCGTGTGTAAACAAAGTTTCTGGCTAATGATAAACAGTCAAATGATAAACAATCATTGTGGTCCCTTTTGATCGATGAGCGATGCTGAGCGGTTGCGGTGAAATCTGGTGAGAGCCTGAGCCATGAGGCAGCAGGAATACCAAGCGAAGCAAATGGACAAAAACAACGCTGGCCCCACTGCTCCTAGTCCCTTGGCAAGTCAATGAAGGAGCTCCTTAAAGACCTAACAAATGCGTCATGTGTTACTTTAGAGCTCAACCTGCAAAGAGATCGACAAGCAGGCGAGTATGCACTTGGCGGGTGTACTTGTTGATGATTACAAACTAAAATGTGTTCAGATAAACATTCAATTCATTTCAATTCATGAATGTTCATAGTTGCTCTCGAATGATGTAGCTGTGTGATTGCTTTGTGTACATACATTGAGTATTTACATAGGGCCTAGGGATAACGAGCTGGGATAACCCCTTGAATTTAAGGAGCTCTTTCATTGCCACACATTTTTAGACCTGTTGCTTTTGCTCCTTGGATACGCCTCCGTGTGTCTTGGTCAGAGATTAGATCAAGGCACCTTGGCACCAGCGTTTGAATTTTCCTAGCTTCGAATGTGGCATGCCGTCAGAACGCTGATAGACTGGTCTCCACAGCCTAACCAAGGATCGCCAGCGAACAGCCAACCTGACAATGAATTCGCACCCAGGGTTTTCATAGGGTCGGAAGCGCCTGCCTGATAGATGAGAAACTTTGCTAAGGAAACTATCTAGGTTGCCCCGTGCTGTAGCCATAGCAGCCAACCCTGAATGAATGGCATTGCCAACGTTGCGTATCTAACATATCTAAAGCATGAGCATGAAACCATATGAAAGTCGTGCCAGAGATCGATCCTTAGTTTGACCTTCCGTAAATCATGGTCTTTGGTGACAAGCTGCAAGCTCAGAATCAAAGTTATTGATTCTGAGGTGGTGGAAATGGTGACTTCAACAGTGGCCACCATGGAGGAGGTGGTGATGCCATGTCCAATGAGACTGGTATTGGCAGTAATGGATCCATGCACATGGGCGGTTACGGCGGCTGCGGTGCGTGCACGGGTTGCGGAAGCTGCAGTCCTTTACCTCCCCCACCCATGCCAAGTGTCCCGGGGTGTGGTGGTGGATGCGGGTGTTGCGGTTGTGGCTGCGGAAGCTGCAGCGGATGTGGTAAAGGATGCAGCGGTTGCGGCTGCGGTTGTGGAGGGTGCCCCTGTGGTGGCTGTGGATGTGGATGTCCAAGTGGCCCAAGTTGTGGATGCTGTGGCCCTTGTGGATGTGGCAACTGCGGTGGCAACTGTGGCTGTGGTCCTCCCTGCGGTCCTCCTTGTGGTCCGCCACCATGTGGACCACCACCTTGTGGTCCACCACCCTGTGGTCCGCCTTGTCCTCCGCCATGTGGTCCACCCTGTGGCCCTCCACCATGTGGTCCTCCCTGCGGTCCTCCCTGTGGTCCTCCACCATGTGGTCCTCCCTGCGGTCCTCCTTGCGGTCCACCATGTGGTCCTCCTTGTGGTCCTCCTTGTGGTCCCGGCTGTGGCCCTGGCTGCGGCCCCAGCTGCGGTTGCAGCGGATGTGGCGGATGCGGAGGATGTGGATGCGGCGGATGCGGCGGATGCGGATGCCAGGGTGGGTGTGGTTGCGGAGGCTGTGGTGGTTGCGGTTGCAAAGGCGGTGCTTGTCCCAACATGGGCGGCAAAGGGATGGGCATGGGAAATTTGGGTCCAGCTGGATTGATGATGAATTCTGGCTGCCTGAGTCCAGCCGAGGAAGCTATGATGTCAAAGTCAATTACTGAGCTAAAGTCGCTAATAACATCCCTGGGTGGTGTTATACCACCACCTCCCTACCTGAAGCAAGACTTGGCCCGACTGGCAGCATCACTCTCTCGTAACTGATGGCCGCGCTTGGTTTTCATTGTCTACGTTTGCGTTGAGCTGCCGTTTGAAAGTTTGACATCCATAGATTCGGCCGGATGCTTGTTTGCAGCCTATTGGATGTGATTGGTGACATGTTGTATTCGTATCATTCAGCTATTAACAACTCCTGGGTTACCTGGATTCCAAGATCAGGGTTGCTGACAACAACTTCAAAGTGCCCATACATACATAGGATATCATAGGATCATATACGGGTCAAGTGTTTCAACGTTGCACGCAGGACTTGCACGCAGAAGTGAAATAGCTCAGAGTTGGGAAGGGCTCACATACACACAACCACACAACTGACAACGTGAAAAGGGGTGACTTGGTGCCTAAGGAAATGGTCCTGCCATCAAGGGAGTGGTTGAGGCGGCAAGAAAGGTCTAGATTTCATTGAACGCTTTGGTGTCTAGATACGTCAACAAAAGTGTTTTTTTCATGCTAGTGCTGGCCATTGAATATAAACTGATAGTCTATGATATACTGTAAATTGCAACCTTCAGTTCCAAGATGTTTTAAGGCTATAAAGTGCGAAGAAGGTTTGTTTCATTTGCTGTTGTTTCTTGTTTGATATTGTATAGGGCTGACATCTCTAATCAAGACACCAGTTGCCACACAGTCAGTCTGGCACTAGAAACTGCCTGATGGAAGCCGGGGGCTGCAACGAGTTGCAACAAGCCCCAGCAGCCCCAGTACGCCCAAATGAAAAGCAGTTGGCTGGCTGGGACATCCCCGAACTAATTGGGCATTGAACCGGGATAATCAGAATCGACTACCCTCTGGTAATTTAACATATATAGCTTTTGAAAATGACCATTTATAGTGGATTTTCCCATAAACAATGGTGATTTTCCATAGCTATGTTAATGTACCAGAGGGTATACATTGTTTACATGGGCCATTTTCCATACCTAAGTTGCCGGAGGTGAGGTGGAGAGAAGGAGAGAGTAGTGATGTCGGGTTGAGCAAGTTGATGAGAAGGCACTGATGCGTTTCATCAGCAAATGGGTGATTGACAATACTGGGGATTGACGGTTTGGAATTTGTGGATTTTATGATTTGAATTGATCTCGGGGTTATCAGATGTTATCAGTGATAAGTCGGCACTGATCATCATGGGTTAATGATGCTTGATGTTTTCAAAGCATGCAACGGTAGTGCGATGTTATGAAGTAGAAGCTATGCCAACAACAGTTTGGATCAAAAGGGAGATTTCGTCGAACTCGCTGCAGCTCAGAGTTGCTCAGGGACAATGGCAAGTAGTAGGGCTATCGATGAATCATGATCGACAAGCTTTCAAGACAACATCAATAACACAACTGACTGGAAGTAAATTATAGCCTAATCAGAGAAATCATGTTGGAATCCCATCAATGAATGTCATAGAAGTGTGCATAGGTACAGGATGGTACAGGTATTGCATATATATCATATATTAGGTCATCATAGGTCTATAGTACACATAGTACACATAGTGCGTGCAGCTGAATTATACAGAGCACCCTGCCGGGTCGCACTCGCTACACTCGCCATGTCCTACTCTCAGCGTGCCAAGAACGCGCCCACAGCAAAGGTCACTTCAAAGAGTAGCCAAGCTGCAGATTTCAGTGGCAATCCGGTGAGTTTTACCGCACAAAATGGGTGTTGTTTGTTCAATGTTTTCATGGGAAACCATGGGAAACCATGGGTTTTCACCGCAAGAATAGGCTATGGAACAGTGATGAAACACACTGGTTCACTCGGTTTGGAGGAAACATGAGGAAACATATATATAACACACACACATATATATATATAAGATTGAACATCCCAGTAGTTTTTTGTTTGTTTGTTATGTTTTTATTTTATCCGTGATGTCCACCAGTGGATTAATTGTATGCAGCATGCAGGACGAAGGGTTGGTTTTGCTTTTGTACTTGTAGGGTTGGTTGGCGTGCATGATGATTCTTCTATGGTCGAGTGGCCCAAACATCAGGTGCGCAAAAGTCCGAGCAGCCTGCACACACCAAGCCTTTCAAGTTTGAAAACGAGAAAGGCGCAGCAAGACTATTGGGGGTGGGTCGCAGCACTTCTCCTTTGCTTCGTAGATGATGGAATTGTGGTGGAGTTCAGCCTGTCAAGCTGTTCCCTTCTGTTCCATATGGATGGCCTTGGCAAGGCCGGGTTGAAAAACAAGAGGATGACTGGCGCCCGGGGAAGCGCATGAACATCACCGTGCGGGCCCTCGGAAAATGGGATATATATATATATATATAATATAATATAATATATATATATACATATATGGCCTGCCATGGACCCTCCTGTACCTACTTGAAACCTATACCCACAGGCGCATAGAATCTACCTAACTATGGATATATGATATATCATATCCCCACATCTCCATTTGGAGGTTTCCTAAAATGGGGGCCCCAAAACCATTTTGATAGGATTTTCCATCATGAATCATCCATTTTGGGGTACCACCCATTTATGGAAACCTCCATTTGAATAGGGACCTTGATGAGAAACCTTCTAACTGTGGGGAACCCTATCTTCAGACAAACGCAATTTGGACTTGTCGAAAAAATCTTGGCCTCGGAGAAACATCGACAGATTGATTGGCTGCGCGACGCTGCGCGAAGGCCCAGGACACAGGCCGCATCCAGAACAAGACCATCGTGTCCACAGAAAGTCCAGTCCCTTGGAGCTGCAAATTCCCCAGCGCAGTAGCGATTGTAGATGATGGTTGGTTGTTGGTAGCCCAGGGGCAAGGAGAGATGCTGAAGCGTTCAAGATTCAGATACTATGGAAAACAATATCACGGGCATGTCATTAAACAATGCTTTCTGGCTCAGGATTTCAGGTCATTCTTATCATGCTTACGTGGTGGTTTAGACTACTATAGACTTTAGACAACAGCAACATCCACCACCACAAACCATCACATAAGTCATCAAGAGACCCATCAATTGTGACCCATTAATTCAATAAACACTATTACTAATTAACCCATCATGTGCGCCCTTCTAAGAAATCCATCTCCTTTAACCGTGTTCAGAACTGAGGATTGGATGAAGTCCTTCTTCGAAAATAACCGTGCCTACTTTGAAAAGCAGGGCGTGGCACAGAAGCTGAAGAAGCAAGGTCCTCCAGGTGAATCTCCGGCAGGTGTCCCGAGCTCCGCGAGAGAGAAAGGCAAAAAGCCTGGCACACAAATGAAACTTGGGCCGCACCATAGCCATCCAGTGACTATCCAGTGGCTATCCAGTGACTATCCAGTGACTATCCAGTGGCTATCCAGTGACTATTGAGTGACTATCCAGTGACTATTGAGGGACTATCCAGTGACTATTGAGGGACTATCCAGTGACTATTGAGGGACTATCCAGTGGCTATCCAATGGGTATCCAATGGGATCCATATTTAACCACTTGGGGGCCAATAAAACTCCAGGAGTTTCCCAAAACAAATATGGAGACCCACAACTGGGGTGGAAGGTGTGTTTTCATGGTTTTTTATGTTTTTTTCCCCCTGTCGGCAGTGGCAATTCTGTTTGCTCTATATAAAAAGCCGCAGTTTCAGGGGTGGATTCATTCGCTAGATCCCAAAATCCCGATTGACAAAGCATTGGTTTTATTGTTGCTTCAGGCCTCACCGATGCGGGGGCATAATTAGTGAATTTGGCTAGAATTGAGTCTAGAGAAAGAAAGGGGGCCTATGCTGACTCAAGACATCATTGAAGGTTGAGGCCAAGACCGACCTCCTGGTCCTATTTCCAACATTTTCCAACTGATGTTCTTTGCTTTCACATTTTGCGAAAATGATAGCAATCTCCAAACAGTCAAGGACTTGTGATGAAACTGGCATTCTCTTTTCTCAGACAGTGGGCTCAGCGTGCCTTGGCTGAGCAGGTAGGGTATGTCTCTTTGGTTTTGCACCATGACATGGCATGAATTTGTTTGGAAATGGGGTATGCCAACCAAATAGCAAAAAAGAAATGGCTATTTCAATAGAAGAATGGTGATTCACCAATGGTTTTAGAGGTACCTCATTTTCAGACAAGCCCATGTGTTTTCCTTTGTCTCAGTTGTAGAAGAAAAAGCAGTAGCAGACAGCACAGAATTGGTCGCATTCAATGGGTGAAGAGATACCATCAGAAGTCCTCCAAAATTGAGGTGGTGGTCTGGGTCCTGGCAGGTTGGATGAAGATGTCTTGGGTTTCCCTTCAATGAGCTGGTCACAGCTAAGGAACAGCCCAGATTGGATGGACAACCCATGGAAACCACCAGCTGCAGCACACACTCCCCGGCGAGTGGGTCAGAGAGAAGCTTGGCAGTGAAACAGTTGTCGCAAGCACTGGGATGGGCCAATGGGGCCACGCGGATTTTCCGAAGTGGTGTGGTCCACTTGGATACGGGGTAACGGGCACGCTTTTCCTCAAATGTTGAGCCAAGCTGTTTCAAATCTGAACAGGTGATCTCAGACGGCAAGAGGAGCCGGTAGGTCTTGTTTCGCTTGGTTTTGCATCCATCCAGTGCTCAGTCTGGGCATGTTTGCTGAGGCTGGAATAGATAGGCGCTTTCTGGGTGGCCGGTGGGTGGTGCCTGGGTGGTGCCTGGGTGAACTCAAGTCACCCCCTTGCTAAGGGATTGCCATTGGAACTGGTGGTCCTCCGTGTAATGCTTGCTGCGTGGCATTATAACTAATTGCAATATATTGCAACGTGGTAGATCATGGAATCATGGTAAGCCCAACAAGATACTTCCAAGTGGGGATGGATGAAACATAATTATATTTACATGTATATATTTATGATATCATATGTATATGTATATATATATATATATACGCATATACACAAATTTATACAAGCCATTTATGATAAGATTCGGGATTGCCAGGAAGGGCCTATCATTGGGACCAGATTCGATCTCTCTGTTGGTGTTGTTGGATCAGCACCTTGCAGGCACACAGCGAATCCCACCCCTCGGGCTAAGAGCACCTTGGCATAGCCGCTCCAAGTCTAAGATGTCTAAGTGGCGCTGTGGCAAACTGGTAGGTTGCAAAATGGTAATGCCCATGGGTCCATGAGTATGTGTTTTTAATGGTTTGATACCACCAGATTGGGTAGGTAGGGCATGAAAGGGCGAGGGGTGTAATTATGATTGGGTGACGTAATATCATTCAGACTACGCACTTAGAACATGCAATATGGAGGTTTCCAATCCATGGGGGTACCTCCAGTTATCATCCATGTTCACAGGATTTTCCATCATAAACCATCCAGCTATTGGGGTACCCTGATGACTACAGAAACCTCCAGCCCTATGCTTGATGTTGGATGTGCATCCCGCAACTGGCTACAAGGTGATCATGTTGTAACACAATTAGAAATGGGAGATATATCCCACTGATACCCACTTCTCTCATACTTAAACCATTGCAATTCTATCCACATGATTTAAAATCAACTTAGATATATATAATCGTAGAATATATACATAATAATAATGATAATAATAATAATAACAATAATATATTTATATGCACATATATATAGATATTATGTATAACTATTTGTAACTATATTTATTTATCTATCTATCTTATCTTATTGTATCTTATCTTATCTTATCTTATCTTATCTTATCTTATCTATCTATCCTAACTATCCTAACTATCCTAACTATTCTAACTATCCAAACTATCCTAACTATCCTATCTATCCTATCTACCCTATCTATCCTATCTATCCTATCTATCCTATCTATCCTATCTATCTATCTATCTATCCTACATATCCTATCTATCCTATCTATCCTATCTATCTTATCTATCTTATCTATCTTATCTATCTGATCTATCTTATCTATCTTATCTATCTTATCTATCTTATCTATCTTATCTATCTAATCTATCTAATCTATCTAATCTACCTAATATATCCTATCTATAATCTATCTAATCTATCTAATATATCTAATCTATCTAATCTAATCGAATCTAATCTAATCTAAGCTAATCTAAATTTAATCTAATCTAATCGAATCTATCTGTCTAGCTTATCTATCTTATCTATCTAATTTATCTAATCTACCTAATCTATCCTATCTATATTCTATCTAATCTATGTAATATATCTAATCTATCTTATCTATCTAATCTAATCGCATCTAAATCTAATCTAATCTAATCTAATCTAATCTGTTTGTCTATCCATTTATCTATCTCATCTATCTCATCTATCGCATCTATCTCATCTATCTTATCTATCTTTTCTATCTCATATATCTTATCTATATTATCTATCTTGTTTATCTTATCTATCGTATTCACCTTATCTATCCTTATCTATCTTATCTATCTTATCCATCTTATCTATCTTATCTATCTTATCTATCTAATCTATCTAATCTATCTAATCTATCTAATCTATCTAATCTATCTAATCTATCTAATCTATCCAATCTATCTAATCTATCTAATCTATCTAATATATCTAATCTATCTAATCTATCTAATATATCTAATCTATCTAATCGATCTAATCGATCTAATCGATCTAATCGTTCTAATCGATCTAATCGATCTAATCGATCTAATCGATTTAATCGATCTAATCTATCCAATCTATCCAATCTATCCAATCTATTCAATCTATCTAATCTATCTAATCTATCTAATCTGTCTAATCCATCTAAGCTATCTAAGCTATCTAATCGATCTATTCGATCTAATCGATCTAATCGATCTAATCGATCTAATCGATCTAATCGATCTAAGCGACCTAAGCGACCTAAGCGATCTAAGCGATCTAATCGATCTAATCGATCTAATCGATCTAATCGATCTAATCGATCTAATCGATCTAATCGATCTAATCGATCTAATCGATCTAATCGATCTAATCGATCTAGTCGATCTATCTATCCATCCATCCATCTATCCATCTATCCATCTATCCATCTATCCATCCATCCATCCATCTATCCATCTATCCATCTATCCATCTATCGATCTGTCTATCTGTCTATCTGTCTATCTAAATCTATCTAATCTATCTAATCTATCTAATCTATCTAATCTATCTATCTATCTATCTATCTACCTATCTATCTATCTATCTATCTATCTATCTAAATCTATCTAATCTATCTAATCTATCTAATCTATCTAATCTATCTATCTATCTAAATCTATCTAATCTATCTAATCTATCTAATCTATCTAATCTATCTAATCTATCTATCTATCTATCTAAATCTATCTAATCTATCTAATCTATCTAATCTATCTAATCTATCTATCTATCTATCTATCTATCTAATTCTATCTAATTCTATCTAAATCTATCTAAATCTATTAAATCTATCTAATCTATCTAATCTATCTAATCTATCTAATCTATCTAATCTACTAATCTATCTAATCTATCTAATCTATCGATCTATCTATCTATCTATCTATCTATCTATCTATCTATCTATCTATCTATGATCTATCTATCTATCTATCTATCTATCTATCTATCTATCTATCTATCTATCTATCTATCTATCTATCTATCTATCTATCTATCTATCTATCTATCTATCTATCTATCTATCTATCTATCTATCTATCTATCTATCTATCTATCTATCTATCTATCTATCTATCTATCTATCTATCTATCTTATCTATCTTATCTATCTTATCTATCTTATCTATCTTATCTATATTATCTATCTAAATCTATCTAATCTATCTAATCTATCTAATCTATCTAATCTATCTAATCTATCTAATCTATCTAATCTATCTAATCTATCTAATCTATCTAATCTATCTAATCTATCTAATCTATCCATCTATCCACCTCTAAATGAATAAATGAATAAATGGACACCATGGGGCCATGGGACCAGTGCCCCCCTGGAACGACACCTTTTGAGGCGCCAACGAGATGCAACATCTCCTGGTCTCGGACAGCGTTCCACCATGGATGAAGAGCTCAACGGTGGTGGAGGCCATGACCAAAGGCCTGTTGGGAAAATCTTGGGAAAATCCATGGAAGATATGGAAGTAAGATGGACAAAAACCATGGAAGTCCTGTGTTTTCCCTATGACATAAGATGGTAACAGTGGTAACACCTGCAACATTTACATAAAGATATGCTACATAAACCAATTTTGGGATGATATCTGGTGTTTTATGTTATTGACAGTGAAATGCTCGTCTAGTTTGTCTATTTTGCTGGGCATCGAGGCTTGGTTTGATGTTTGCTGTGTGGAATTGATTTCGGGATGATTCTGGCGATGTCTGTGACATCTTTTGGTAACTGTGTTGCTGCAGCGGTGGCTGCTGTGACCAGAAATTACCCCGCTTCTGAAATTGGCATGACTTAAAGTTCAAGACCAAAGAGAACCACATGTTTTTGTTCCTCAGATTTGTTTTTTGGGTACCAAACATCCGATTTTCGGAGTGCCCCAGATGAACCGCAGGTTGCGGTTCAGCGAGACGGACAGGAGAGCAGGACGACTCCAGGCAAAGGGGTAACTTAAGGTTTGCAGCAAAAATGATGGTGTTTTAACTGGTTTCAATGGATATGTTAGTATTTTTCAACCAAGTGCCCATGGAAATGGCTAAAAAAACCCACATATTGGGTATATATTCAATATTATTCCTTCGTATTTACATCATTTTTCTAGGTACTTGGAGGGTCAACGGGTCAACGTTTGACATGTGACGCCAAATTTGAGGGCGGCCGGCGTGACCACGGAGCGCTTCTGGGATGAGTCCTCCCGCAATAAAGGAGGGAATATGATTCATCCCGTGTGGCTTGGAAAAATCTGGAACCTGAGGACCACTGTTACTGTTAATATTGGTGGATGATCGTTCGGAAACTATGTACAATGTACAAGACCTTGCGGATCATCCGAATCGAGAATCATGAGAATCATGGAGATCAATTTGACTAAGGTTGCAGACTTGGAGTTTTCTGCTTGCCAAACATTGAGTTCCAGAAAAAATTGATGGATGTTGACTGAGAGAGGGTTGACATGTCGCACCTATGAACAGTACAAGAGCTGAGGACGGGCCGAGTGCTTCACAAAGCCCACCAATCGATGCTTTGATGCAGGGAGGTTTGCGGCAGTTTGCCGGGAATTGCAGGTGTTTGCATTGCAGGGGGGGGTTCTTTTGCAATGTTATCAATATGTTTCAAGCAGATTCTACGATGCTCAAGTCACTGTAATTTCCCATTTGCCTTTATTTGGAGCTGATGTCGGATGCAAATTCCCACGCAGAACACAGGTCACCTCAAATTGGCAGTTTTTTCTCACGAGCACTGCGCAAAAACGAGCGGCTGAGGGATGATTTTCCCTTGGATTCTGGCCGAAACCATCGGGCTGCCTTTGAGGAGCAACTGCTGATAATGTTGACATGCTGGTTTTGAAGTTGGCACCGATTGCATATGGTTCCAATCCATGGGGGTACCCCCAGTTATCATCCATTTTAGATTGGCATTTTCCATTATAAACCATCATCTGGAGCCAGTGAATGTTTGAGGATGTTTGGGGACTTCTTCCCGTTTCTTTTTGTTTGCAGATGTATGTGAAGTCAGAGAGGAATTTCTCAACTCCCAACGGCGAAGGAAACTATGCGTCAAAGGCCTCAATCTGCTCGAGCTCAAGGGCCTCACTATGCTGGTGACCGATCAAAGGCATGGATGGAGAATGACACATCGCGGGTATACATATGATATAATTAATATAATTTATGTATATATTATATATATAGTAATAATAATAATGCCATGTGTAATGGAAGATGCCAAAAGTGTAGGTGACGGATGCTGATGGGAGTGAATCTGAACAACTTTTGCAGATTTGATGGCCGCCCCATGTGCCAGGAGTTCCGTGACAAGGCAAAGGGAGCTGTCGTCGATCAGCTCACTGGAAAGGTTTCTTGGCCAACGATTCCATCATATAAGTTCATATCGCCTAATAGATCACCCCCACGGTCAAAAATTGTGAGTGAAATGACATGAAATAACGGCTTTCCTTCACGTTTGGAAGGCGAATGTTCCTTTGATGATTTTGATGTCTCAAGGTAGCGAACAGCTCTATCGTGTCGCCGGAGAGTCCCCAGTGGATGAAAGAGCCTTTTGAAAACAATCGCAGCTTGGCTGCGCTTGGCTGCAGTCGACTTGCGTGATTCCAAGAATCCTTTGGCCAACATTTTGCATGTCCTGCTTCTCAAGCAGATTCCTGGGGCTGCAGCGCCTAATTTAAATTACTTTACTTCGTGTGATCCCCACCATGACATTTATCGATTTGTTACTGGCAAATCTTCTGGCATTCTATCTGACGTATCTTCTGGCATTCGATCTGGCATTCTATCTGGCATATCTTCTGGCATTCTACCTGGCATATCTTCTGGCAGATGTTCTGGCATATCTTCTGGCAGATGTTCTGGCATATCTTCTGGCATATCTTCTGGCATATGTTCTGGCATATCTTCTGGCATTCTATCTGGCATATCTTCTGGCAAATCTTCTGGGATTCTATCTGGCATATCTTGTGGCATTCTATCTGGCATATCTTCTGGCATTTTATCTGGCATATCTTCTGGCATTATATCTGGCATATATTCTGGCATTCTATCTGGCGTACCTTCTGGCATTCTATCTGGCATATCTTCTGGCATTCTATCTGGCATATCTTCTGGCATTTTATCTGGCATATCTTCTGGCATTCTATCTGACATGCTATCTGGCGTTCTATCTGGCATATCTTCTGGCATTCTATCTGGCCGTTGAGGTCCAGCGGTGCTCACTGAGCTCGGAAGGTCCCAGGTTGAGGTCCAGCGGTGCTCACTGAGCTCGGCGGGTCCCAGGTTGAGGTCCAGCGGTGCTCACTGAGCTCGGAAGGTCCCAGGTTGAGGTCCAGCGGTGCTCACTCAACTCGGCAGGTCCCAGGTCGAGGTCCAGCGGTGCCCAGTGCGCTCAGACCCTTGCAGTTGAGGTCCAGCAGTGCCCACTGCGTGCGGAAGTTGGCGAAGAGCTTGGCGAAGAGTTGGCAAGGCGGAAGTGAACATGGAAGTGGAGGCAGAGGTGGTGGAGGAGGAGGAGGAGAAGAAGGAGAAGAACAACTTTGATAAAATCTAACAACCCTCACTTGGCAGGTGGGGAAATAGTGCAAATGGAATTAGCGCAAAGCAACATGAAATTCAACCCGTTGAATCTTGACATATCTTGATCCATGTTGCTTGACCCCAACTTTTTTTTGCAGCTATGTTGGGGCCATTGGGATTGGCCATATTGAGGTTGCCAGGGCAAAAAATGAGGGATGCCATGTGTATAACTATATATACATACATGAAATCAATTGATTAATTCATTAATTAAATTAATTAAATAATTAATTCAATTAAATAATAAATTCAATTAATTAAAGTAATTAATAATTAATCAATTATATTAATTAATAATTAATTAAATTGATTAATTAATCAGTTAATTCATTCATTAATCAATTGATTAATTAATTGATTGATTATAATCCAACCCAGAGTGTTTGAGACCCTCCACGGCCAGTACAAATGGGCATGTTTTTGCTAATCGCTGTGCAAATATATTACACAAAGTTTTTTGGTTCAAGATGTGTTTTCTTCATTGGATACTGTACATGACCAAACGACGAGCTGCTCTTCGAAGCAATGAGGCCAATACTTTCAGAACAAGGGTGTTGCTCAGAAGCTGCGGGCCTTGTCGGCAGAGGTCCGGACATGGAACTGATGGTAGTTGCACATGGTATGGCTTCTGGTGGCAGCATGTTTTTTCGGCAAATCCATGGTTTCGATCGTATTCACCATTATTTCCAGTCATGAAATATAAGGTTCTTGCAAATCCTAATAATGACAACAACAATGACAATCACCATCATCACCATCATCATCATCATTATCATCATTATCATCATCCATCATCCATAATCCATCACCCATCATCCATCACAATCCATCATCATCATCATCATCATCATCATCATCATCATCCATCATCCATCACCCATCATCCATCACCCATCATCCATCACCCATCATCCATCATCATCATCGTCATCATCATCTTCATCACCATCACCCATCATCCATCACAATCCATCACCATCACCATCACCATCATCTCCATCACCACCCTCATCCTTCATCATCATCCTTCATCATCATCATCATCATCATCATCCATCACAATCCATCACAATCCATCATCATCATCAGCATCATCATCATCCATCATCATCCATCATCATCCATCATCATCATCACCATCATCATCATCATCCATCACAACCCATCATCATCATTACCACCACCATCATCATCATTATACATCACAATCCATCATCATCATCATCATCATCATCACCATCCATCACAATCCATCATCATCATCATCATCATCATCCTTCATCATCATCATCACCATCACCATCACCATCATGATCATCATCATCACCACCCTCATCATCATCACCATCATCCATCACAATCCATCATCATCACCATCACCATCACCATCAAAATCACCATCACCATCACCATCATCATCATCATCATCCATCACAATCCATCATCATCATCATCATCCATCACAATCCATCATCATCATCACCATCATCCATCACAATCCATCACCATCACCATCACCATCATCATCATCATCATCATCATCACCACCCTCATCCTTCATCATCATCCTTCATCATCATCATCATCATCACCATCATCATCATCACCATCATCATCATCACCCATCACAATCCATCACAACCCACCATCATCATTACCACCATCATCATAATCATCATCATCCACCATCATCATCATCATCATCATCATCATCTTCACCACCATCATCCGTCATCATCCATCATCATCCATCATCATCATCATCACCATCACCATCTCCATCATCATCATCATCATCATCATCCTTCATCATCATCATCCTTCATCATCATCGTCATCATCATCATCGTCATCATCATCATCCTTCATCATCATCGTCATCATCATCATCATCTTCTTCATCCCCACCTTTTCCATCACAATCCATCATCATCTTACCATCATCATCATCATACATCACAATCCATCATCATCATCATACATCACAATCCATCATCAGCATCTTCACCATCTTCACCATCACAATCCATCATCATCATCATCAACATCACCATCATCATCCATCACAACCCATCATCATCACCATCACCATCACCATCATCATCATCACCACCACCATCATCATCACCATCATCCATCACAATCCATCATCATCATCATCAACATCATCCATCACAATCAATAACCATCACCATCACCATCACCATGATCATCATCATCCTCATCCTTCATCATCATCCTTCATCATCATCATCATCATCATCATTGTCATCATCATCATCATCATCATCAGCCATCACAATCCAATATCATTACCACCACCACCACCACCACCACCATCATCATCATCATCCACCATCAAAACCATCGTCATCATCATCCTTTATCATTATCCTTCATCATCATCGTCACCATCATCATCCTTCATCATCACCGTCATCATCATCATCCTTCATCATCATCGTCATCATCATCATCCTTCATCATCATCATCATCATCCTTCATCATCATCATCCTTCATTATCATCGTCATCATCATCCTTCATCATCATCCTTCGTCACCATCCTTCATCATCATCCTTCATCATCATCATCATCCTTCATCATCATCATTCATCATCATCATCCTTTGTCATCATCATCATCGTCATCATCATCATCCTTCATCATCATCATCATCATTATCATCATCATCATCCTTCACCATCATCATCCTTCATCACCATCGTCATCATCATCATCCTTCCTCATCATCATCCTTCATCATCATCATCATAATCATCCTTCATCATCATCATCCTTCATCATCACCGTCATCATCATCATCCTACACCATCATCATCATCATCCTTCATCATCATCATCATCTTCATCATCCTTCATCATCATCGTCATCATCATCATCCTTCATCATCATCGTCATCATCATCATCCTTCACCATCATCGTCCTTCATCATCATCATCCTTCATCATCATCATCCTTCATCATCATCATCATCCTTCATCACCATCGTCCTTCATCATCATCGTCATCATCATCATTATCATCCTTCATCATGATCATCATCCTTCATCATCATCATCCTTCATCATCATCGTCATCATCATCATCCTTCATCATCATCATCCTTCATCATCATCGTCATCATCATCATCATCCTTCATCATCATCGTCACCATCATCATCCTTCATTATCATCATCCCTCATCATCATCGTCATCATCATCATCCTTCATCATCATCCTCCATCACCATCATCCTTCATCATCATCGTCATCATCACCATCCTTCATCATCATCATCCTTCATCATCGTCATCATCGTCATCCGTCATCATCATCATCATCTTTCATCATCATCGTCATCATCTTCATCATCCTTCATCATCATCATCCTTAATCATCATCCTTCATCATCATCATCATCCTTCATCATCATCCTTCATCATCATCGTCATCCTTCATCATCATCGTCATCATCATCATCCTTCATCATCATCATCCTTCATCATCTTCGTCATCATCATCATCCTTCATCATCATCATCATCATCATCGTCATCATCATCATCCTTCATCATCATCCTTCATCATCATCATCAGCATCATCATTATCATCATTATCATTCATCATCACCATCGTCATCATCATCCTTCATCATCATCATCCTTCATCATCATCGTCATCATCATCATCCTTCATCATCATTATCCTTCATCATCATCATCATCATCATCCTTCATCATCATCATCGTCATCATACTTCATCATCATCATCATCATCCTTCATCATCATCCTTCATCATCATCATCATCCTTCATCATCATCATTCATCATCATCATCCTCCATCATCATCATCATCATTATCATCATTATCATTCATCATCATCATCATCCTTCATCACCATCATCATCCTTCAACATCATCGTCATCATCATCATCCTTCATCATCATCGTCATCATCATATCCCTTCATCATCATGATCCTTCATCATCATCGTCATCATCATCATCCTTCATCATCATCATCATCATTATCATTCATCATCATCATCGTCATCATCATCATCGTCATCATCATCATCATCCTTCAACATCATCGTCATCATCATCATCCTTCATCATCATCCTTCATCATCATCCTTCATCATCATGATCATCATCCTTCATCATCATCGTCATCATCATCATCATCATCCTTCATCATCATCATCATCCTTCATTATCATCGTCATCATTATCATCCTTCATCATCATCATCCTTCATCACCGTCATCATCATCATCCTTCATCATCATCATCCTTCATCATCATCATCGTCATCATCATCATCCTTCATCATCATCGTCATCACCATCATCCTTCATCATCATCATCCTTCATCATCATCATCCTTCATCATCATCATCGTCATCATCATCATCCTTCATCATCATCGTCATCACCATCATCCTTCATCATCATCATCCTTCATTACCATCATCATCATTATCATCGTAATCATGCTTCATCATCATCATCCTTCATCATCATCATCATCCTTCATCATCATCATCATCGTCATCATCATCATCCTTCATGATCATCATCCTTCATCATCATCATCATTATCATCATTATCATTCATCATCATCATCATCATCATCCTTCATCATCATCATCCTTCATCATCATCCCATCATCATCATCCTTCATCATCATCATCATCATCCTTCATCATCATCAGCATCATCCATCATCCATCATCATCATCATCATCATCATCATTCATCATCATCCTTCATCATCATCATCATCATCACCATCATCATCATTCATCATCATCATCATCCTTCATCATCATCATCATCATCATCATCATCCTTCATCCTTCATCATCATCATTATCATCCTTCATCATCATCATCATCCTTCATCATCATCATTATCATTCATCATCATCATCGTCATCATCATCATTGTCATCATCATCATCATCCTTCAACATCATCGTCACCATCATCATCGTCATCATCATCATCCTTCATCATCATCATCCTTCATCATCATCATCTTTCATCATCATCATCATCATCATCCTTCATCATCATCATCCTTCATCATCATCCTCTTGCATCATCATCATCATCCTTCATCATCATCATCATCATTACCATCATTATCATTCATCATCATCATCGTCATCATCATCATCCTTCATCATCATCATCCATCATCCATCATCATCATCATCATCACCTTCATCATCATCATCATTCATTGTCATCATCCTTCATCACCCTTCATCACCATTCATCATCGTCATCATTCATTCATTCATTCATTCATATTCATTCATTCATTCATTCATTCATTCATTCATTCATTTCATTCATTTCATTCATTCATTCATTCATTCATTCATTCGTTTCATTCATTTCATTCATTCATTCATTCATTTCATTCATTCATTCATTCATTCATTCATTCATTCATTCATTCATTCATTCATTCATTCATTCATTCATTCATTCATTCATTCATTCATTCATTCATCATCATCATCATCCTTCATCACCATCATCCTTCTTCATCATCATCATCATCATCATCATCCTTCATCAGCAACATCCATCATCCATCATCATCCATCATCATCCATCATCATCATCATCCATCATCATCATCCTTCATCTTCATCATCCATCATCATCCATTATCATCCATCACCATCATCCATCATCCATCATCCATCATCATCCATCATCATCCATCATCATCCATCATCATCCATCATCATCCATCATCACCATCATCCATCATCATCATCATCCATCATCCATCATCCATCATCCATCATCCATCATCCATCATCATCATCATCATCATCATCATCATCATCCATCATCCATCATCCATCATCCATCATCATCATCATCATCATCATCATCATCCATCATCCATCATCCATCATCCATCATCATCATCATCATCATCATCATCATCATCCATCACAACCCATCATCCTCCAGTGCCCGAGATTCCCGAGATTCTGCTGCGAGGAGCTCCGGGACACCGGCTTCATCGCCGGGCGGCCCGTTCCTGTGCGAGCGCGACAGGTACACAAGCAGATCACCAATGAGGCCCAACGGCGATGATTCCGTTGGGAGATGGCGATGTGTTTTTTTGGATCTGGGAACAGTGCTTTCCATGTTGGAATTCCATGACATGGTTTTTTTCAGGGTCTTTTCCAGGGTGCTGAAGATATACGTCCGCTCGGAAATTTGGAGATAGTTTGGTGTTTCTCGCTGATCAATACGCTGATCAATACGGAAGTTAAGCAACATGGGAGTTTCCTAAAATGAAAACGCATCCAAGCCATTGGTCCTATTTTGATAAGACCAGACGAATGGTGTGGGGCACTTAATTGATGAGAAACATTAACAGAAACAACCATATTATCCCAGAACTGTTCGTTGATGCCTGAGCAAGAGCACGTGGAATAGCAAATCATGGAGACCATGGATCTCACAGCAGGTTCTACATGTCCCTCTCTTGATCTCTTGTAGGTTTACTGTGCATGAACCCTTGCCCACTCTCAATCTAAAACACAGATAAACACAGTGGCATGCCAGAGGAATGTTTTTACACCATGAGTGGTGACAACACAGAGCCAGCCGAATGCTCAGGCTGGAAGAGTTCAGTTTCTTGCTTGCAAATAGTTGTTGATCATTAAGCTGTTTCTCAAGTGCTAGACACATTGGAGCGTGATGGGTGCACTACAGTATGTGATGCTACCCTTGTCTTAGCAGATGTTTTTTTGCGGATGAAGAGTTGAAGTTTTCACCGGATAGTTGCAGGGTCTCATAGTTAGCACACTGCATAAATCTGCCAAAAATGATGAACACAGCTACAAAGAAAAGGGCAAAAGATATGCCACGCGCAGTGCATGTGCTGTGTCAGGAATATGAGCATCGTGTCCAGAACTGCTCCGGATTGGATGAAGTCGCCCGGCAGTGGCAGATCGAGAGGGGGACATATTGCCATGAAATAGAAAAAGAACATGTTTGCTCCAAACGGAGGAGTATCCATTCATCCTGCCGCTTCCTTATAACATTGATATACCTATACCTATACCTATACCTATACATATACATATACATATACATATACATATACACATATCCATATGGATATGCATAGACATATATAAAAACACATGTAATATATGTCATTTATTGATGCTTCCAGGCACTTCTTCCAGCTCATTCCAGCTTCCATCCTGGCATTGCTTCGCCGATTTTTGACAGCCAGGTCGCCTTTCGAATCCAACCGGACATACTTCGAGAACGCCGGCATTGCACAGAGCAAGGACCAACCTGAACCGAGCAATCAAGTCGCAGCGTTTGAAACATACACTATACAACAATACTACAGAGTACCGCGACATTGAGAATGGTTCATAATTGGCATTCTACAAATTGAACTAAAAAAACATGAAATGAATAACAAATCATCAAACATCCACAGAAATCAACAGAAAACGTCCACCTTTGGTGACCTTTGTGGTGACCCCTGTGATGTGACAACTGGGAGGAGTTGCCTCGTTCCAGATCTGCTCCGCCCTCCAAGTCCCCGGCGGCTTCACCGGAACCGCTGGAGGCACCGCCGCTGCTGGTGGACGAGTCTCCTGGCGGCCCTGGCGGCTACGGTGCCATCGGTGCCTTGGAAAAGGCCAAGGAGACGGAAGCCAAACCGGCCAAGGTGGGAGTTCGCCAAAATTTATACATCTTATGATTATCTTATGATTATCTTATGATTATCTTATGTGGAATGATGTGTAAATGAATACTTAATCATGTAGGACTATGTATGATTCTATGTAGGGATTCATATTGGATTAGATGGCTGGGATTATGTGGTGTGGTTTGTGGGATGGGATAGTGGGATGGTTATGGAGCCAAAAACTGGCAAAAAAATAGGTTGAGTGGTGATTTTGCTGGGATTCTGCAGGTGACAGATAGGTTCATGGAATGGCCAGCTGCTCTTTTTGACCTTGTTCGCTGGCCAGGGCGTTCCATGCCACGCGGAGCAGCGGAGCGAGCGGCGCCGCAAGAGTGCTTCAGAAGTTTCCAGCACGTCTCGGAGGACCCCGGTCCAAATAGATCAACGCCAAGAACAAATTGGGTATGTCTGAAAATGGGGTATACCCCCAATTATAGCCATTTAGTAGGGATAATGATCAGCAAAACCATTGGGTGTAGGGGTACACTATTTTCAGACAAACCCAATTGGAGGTTTGCATCACTTGCATTTGCGTTGGTCCTCGTAGGTCGGGGTGTCCACTGCGGTTGGGGTGTCCACCCTATTAACTGACAAAACATTTGCAGTGCTGGACGGGCTTGCCTCAGGAGCAGCAGTGCGGCGAGTGCCACGTACTCTGCACGTCATCAGAAGTCACGGACTCGATCCCTGAGCTCTGTGAATGGACCGTGCCTGGGGCTGCATGGAATGTTTGGGGTACCTGATCATGGTGGACCATTGCGCCATCATGTTCCCATATATATATATATATACGCTTATATATATATATATATACATATCCAATCCAGCAAATCTGTTTTAATTGCGAGTTTGATCATTTTTTTGTAATGTTCATCAACTTTCCCATGTTTTCCCCATATTTTGTCTAAGGAAACTGTGAATTTGGGCTTCTCTTTTGTGCTATCCCATGAAGGTCCAGGCTAGGTGACCTGTTTAGTCATAGCAGCCGAGGCGAGGCTGAGGCAAGGATGGCAGGGTGGCGCCCAACCCGAAGTGGCGATGGGTCCCTGAGACATGTTTGTATCAATTTGCTAAGTTTCAGTACTAACTATCTATATACACACACATACATGCATATATATGCATATATATATATATATATATACACAGTATATATATATATATATATTACTACATCATATAACTGGGATTTGGCCCCCAAAAAAGATGTGCTGGTACCACCTTTTTTTTTGCGTTTGAACAGCTTGCGGTGCCGCGGTGAATTGAGCCCATGATTGGATCATTTTTCATTTTTGTGTTTTGGGCGGGAGGCGACGGTCCCCAAACCTGTTCAAAACAATCATGTTCATCACCTATGGAGGCAAGCGCTCTCCAGCAATCGCTGCGTTTGATCCAGCAACTCTGCCCAATGGTTTTTCTCCCAGTGAGCTTGTTCTCTGAAGCGTTGGGTTTGGCCCCCCTCCACAACGGTGCCACGGTGCCATGTTATCAGACCGCAGGAGAACAGTACAAAATGTACAAAGTGGTAAACAATATGGAAATCATTCGGGTAACCGTCAATAAGATATAGGAAGCATTAGTACAAATATTGGCAAACATTAGCACACAGTAGTAAACAAATACACATTATTGTGGAGGCGTCCTAAAATCGTGGTACCCCAAATCATGTCAGGATTTTCCATCAAACATCCGGCCAAAAATGGGGGTACACCCATTTTTTATGCGGTGGAGGGCTAGATCCAGCAGCCTTTCGGCATCGTGATTCGAATCGAGAGACCAGCATCTAAGGCCTGTTATGGGCCTGTTAAACGGGTTATCCATGAGAGATATACCATGGATATACGCCAGCCAAAAAATGAGGAACATCTTTTTTCATTTTGTCCAAGTATCAAACAGTGGGATATAATGGGGATATATTTAGTATATGATGGGGATATGATGGGGTAGTGGGTTTGGGGATTCAATCAACAAAGAATTAGCTATAATTAGGCTAGTTTATGGTGAAATCATGGGAATGTCATCGGATGAATCAACAATACTGTTGGGGTATACCCCCAATACCCCCAAATTGCCTCACTTCAGCAGTGGACCCATGCTGCCCCCTGCCATTTACATCCATTTACTAAGCAGAAAAGCAATGAATGCCATGTCCAGCGGATCCCCAGTGCCGTCCAGAAATCTCGCAGAATCTGCCGAACGCGGTGGGCGCTTTGCGCCCATTGTATATGCCGATTCTACTTGTGATGGAAGACATGCTGCGCTACCGTGAAGTAAATAAATGTAGATAAGGCACTACCGAAGTATCGGTAGTTCAGCATCTGGTCCATCAGCTGTATGCCTCGATATGCATCCAGCTGCCTTAGCCCGCTACTTTCTTGGGGCTGGATGGGGCAGAGGATGCATGTTGTTTATGGTGAATCCAAGCTCTTAGAACAAGTCCGTGCATAGCAAAGTGCTTGCCGATTACCTTAACGACCCCAGATTGCCTTTTAACATCGATTGCTTCATCGAGAACTGGCAGAGATCAAGGGGATTCCCGGAGCCAGCCCAAGCCGCAAAAGCCGTGGTTATGGAATGTTTAAACAGTAAGAACATGTAAGAACAAAACAACACAAATGCCTTCCGTTTTATGTTCCCACTTGATTGCTGATATGCCCCTCAAGAGACCCCCAAAGACACCAACAGATCACATGCACTGACCCTGAATGGCATGCCACAAGTTTTCCAAGTGTGAGGATTTACCACGTTTGTGAGGAATCCAAAGGATCTCTCAACACTGCGGAGCCTTAGGTTTCGGTGTCGGACAGGGAGACTTTCCAGGGAAAACAGGTCACCAGTTCTGGAGCTGCTTGTCACTTCTGGCGTTTCTATGCGTTTCATATAGATAGACTACTGTAGATCAGAATTACGGATTATATCAGGAAGACAGGGATAGATAGATAGATAGATAGATAGATAGATAGATAGATAGATAGATAGATAGATAGATAGGATAGATAGGATAGATAGGATAGATAGGATAGATAGGATAGATAGGATAGATAGGATAGATAGGAAAGATAGGATAGATAGGATAGATAGGATAGATAGGATAGATAGGATAGATAGGATAGATAGGATAGATAGGATAGATAGGATAGATAGGATAGATAAGATAAATAAGATAGATAAGATAGATAAGATAGATACGATAGATAAGATACAAACGATAAATAAGATACAAAAGATAGATAAGATAGATAAGATAGATAAGATAGATAAGAAAGATAAGATATATACGATAGATAAGATAGATAAGATAGATAGATAGCTGATAGATAGATAGATAGATAAATGGATAGATATATAGACAGATAGATAGACAGATAGATAGACAGATAGATAGATAGATAGAGAAAGATAGATAGAGATAGATAGATATAGATAGAGATAGATAGAGATCGACAGAGGTAGATAGAGATAGATAGGGATAGATAGAGGTAGATAGAGATAGAGAGAGATAGATAGTGATAGATAGAGATAGATAGTAGATAGATAGTAGATAGATAGTAGATAGATAGCAGATAGAGATGTATAGAGATAGAGAGAGATAGATATAGATTGGTATAGATAGATGTAGATATATATATATATATTGAGATAGAGAGATGG